TAGTTATTAGCCGCCCAGGCGAAAGCCAGATAGACTTAATGTAAAACTACCGAGTCATTTCTATTATATTCTCGATACGCATATTTTCGCACTCTTAAAAGAATCCTCAGCAATGAGTGTAAGAGTGGGGGGAGTAGCTGGAGAATTTCTATCACGGATAGCCACCCAAATATCCCCTATTCATCACAACACGCAGATCCAGACCCAAATCTACACCCCAAAACCATATCTGTACTAGCTGCAATCCTGTAATTTAATTTCATGAAAGATAATTGAAGTTCTAAACTCTTTGTCATCAACGTTGGCAATTCGTACTCGAAGTGCAAGAATAAAAGATGACCTTGGCTATATCGGGAGCATTAATTCTGGTGTTCATCATGGCACCAACAGCACTCTCTAATCGTTTCATCAACATAGTTGCTGCTGCTCGTATGTCACTTTTTGAATATATCTCATACAACTCAGCGAAAGGATTTCTTATTCTAATTTATTCAAAGACTCAGCGGTTGGCAATGAAGAGAACATAGTTACACAAAACGCGGGATCTGGAAAAATTGGCCATTACGTGTTGATCCCAAATGCTTATTTGATTGAATTCGACCGAAATAAAGGCACCAAAAACTTTCAGCAAACTATTGCTGAGTCCTTGGAAAGATTTCATGGAATTCCTCGATCGGCCATCACAATGCGTCAAATGATTTCCTCATCACTATTCATGGGAGCTTCATTCTCCGTGAATAGCGAACATTCTATGAAAATGATCGAATCAATTCCAGATGTTATTGCTATTTATCCGATTTACTCTGTTCCAGGTCCGACACCGTTGGAGGCGTACATCCCATCTGAAAGAAGCGACGATGGCAAACAAGACAATCTAGTTATTTCACATGATTTGACAGGTGTCGCTCGGATTCACGATCAGTTGAAAAACTTTGGCAAAGGTGTTCGAGTAAGAAGGCCATATATATGAACAAGACTCATTTTTCTTTCCATTAAAAAGCGAACAGTGATATGACGTCAAAGGAGCTTTTTAATGAACGAAAGAAAAACTCAATTTTTCGGAGTTCTACGTTTGTTCTCCAATTCTTCAAGTAGTCGATCATAGATAATTGAAAAATAAATAGTCCTATAAAACCAACTATCAATCTAGATCTTTTTTGCTCATTCATATATTTTAGTTTATGTCATTCTTTGCCTCATGTAGGTAGCTGTTATTGACACTGGTATCGACTATCTGCATCCTGCTCTGGGAGGATGCTTTGGACCACAATGTAAAGTTGCATTTGGTTATGGTCAGTTGTTATTTCGGATCTTTGTATGAAAAAGAGAAAGATTACTGTTCAATTGTTTCTAGATTTTGTTGGTGATGACTTCAATCAATCGAACCTCAATCCAATTCCGGACGAAGATCCACTCGATAATTGTTCTACGAGCGCCCATGGTATTTATCGATATTCAGCTTATTTTCTCAAATAATCTTATTCTTGTCTGTATACAAATATTAGGCACGCATGTTGCTGGAATTGTTGCTGCCAATGCAACAGAAATGACTCAAACAGGCTTTATTCCTTTTCAATCTTTTCTCGGTGTCGCTCCTCAAGCTACTCTTGGAGGATGTAAGTTTATTTGACTTCTGTTTGTAGCAACTCATCTATACATTTCATTCTTCGTTTCATAGACCGTATCTTCGGATGCGCTGGAGACACTGCTACCACAGGTATGTATGAATCAATACATTTTGCTAATATTGTGTGTGTTTCTATGGTATTCTTTATAAACGCACCTTTTTAGACGTCATGACTGCAGCAATATATCGAGCCTTCGACGATAAAGCCGATATAAGTAAGTTCTTGTGTTTCATGTATCTATAATTATAAAATCAATTATGTTAACCACAAAATTTGAATCCAGAAATATAGATATTCTATGCTGTTCTTTGATGCATGAGCATCTAAATATCTTTGTTTTTCAAAGATTATATCCAATTATTGGTCGCCAGTTAAATTCACAATTGATCGATAAATAGGGTCCTATGAGATTATAGGAAATCTAAAAGAATTAATCGTCATGTCTTGAACGTCAAGAGTTATGATCGTTTTACTGCCATTTGTGAGACTCGATCAGGACTTTATAGAAAATTGAATTACAATATTTGGATCCTAAATTTTGCTTATAAAGAATTGTGAGGACTATTAAATTATCCTGAAAATGTCAGTTAAACAAGCGGATTCTTGTCGAGTTATTTAGTGGTGAAGACCAAGCGTTTCTGTACTCTTGCTTTGTATCAGATAATCATTGCTTAATCGTTGAATATGTTAAGAAAAATCCGTTTGTTCAAACTGGAACTTTTAGGATAATTTAGTAGTCCGAAAAGTTCTTCATGGACAAAATTTCAAACCAAAATACTATAAATCGATTTTCTATAAATATCTGATCAAGTTCCACAAATGGCAATAAAACAAACGATGATAATTCTTGACATTCAAGGCATTGCAATGAATTCTTGTAGAGTTCTTCTAGTCTCGCCAAACCCTATTTATGAAGCAAAGAAGCTCGATTGACGTCCGACACTTGAGTATCTTCATTTGTAGAATATTGAATATCTGAATTCAGGTTTCAGGTTTCACGTATATGATTTGTCGTAAAACACATAACTAGATGATAAGTGAGCTATTGCTAATTCAATATTTACCATTCTTACAACTAAAGTCGAACTGTTGCAGTTCTAATTAGGGATGCAACGGTGACGATCATTCATCGTTTCACTGGTCCACTACGATAACTGTGAGTGCGATAAGTGGTTTTCACCGGTTCTTCATAAAGACAAACGTATTTTAAGGATATCAGGATATTTCATTAAAATTGAAAAATATAAATTGGGGTTGGCGAATCCAAATCTGCAATCAGTTTCACAAAATTCCATACTTGCTATTCGCATGTCGAAAAGGCTTTTATGTATAAAATATTCTCATTGTTTCAAAAAAACTATATTCGTTCAAATAATCAAGCTTGGATTCCCCAGAGTAGGGATGCACTTTCAAACTCATCATTAAGATCAGTAAATGAGTCAGGAACCTACAGTGAAGACCAGTTTTTTTTTGTATTATTCATATGCCTTTCTATTAATAGAAGTTAGTGATGCTAATGCACCTATCTTCACCGTAGGTGTTTCGTATTCTTACCAACTTTACCGTTTTCGAACGGTTGCAACCTTACCCTCAATCTCGATTTATTTCCGTTAATCATTATGAAATATTCCTATTTTCTTAAAAAATGCGTGTCACCGTGATGAATCGGTGAAAGTCAGTTTTCGTACCTATGGTTATTGTCATCGTTGTACTCCTAGCTCTAATGATCAATAGAAATTACGCTTTATAAGTGTCCTCTTTGAATCTCTTAAATTTTTCGTTTCACGTTAACATTTGGCTTGGGATTACGATTTGCCATAGTTATTTATTTTAATCTGACCACGATTTATTTAGTCACTATGTCTGTTGGGGGTGCTGGTGCTTACACAGAAAGTTCGGATGCGATCGCTGCTCAACGCGTATCGGAAAAAGGAGGTAGCAATATTATCTTCCTTTCGACAATGTCCTACGTTCTTCATTATTTCTATTAGTATATATTACGTTTTCGTTTGGCAACGACGGAAGCCAAGGTCTTCAAACAGGTGGAAATCCATCCATTTCTTCAGGCGCAATGGCCGTTGCTTCAGTAGACAACTTGCATGCGGCCCAATTCTATATGATTACCCCCAATAATGAGAGAATTTTCTACTTAGCCGGCACTGCTTTTGGTGGATGGCAATCAAATGTACAATCGAAGATCGTCGTCAATAGTAAGCTCTCTTTTTTCAATTGAATATACATTATAAGTTTTTCAAAAATCATTAGATCCACCAGGTACGCCGAATGATGGTTGCCGCAGTCCAACTCTAAACGTGACGGGTGCAGTAGTTTTGTACGCTTTTAACAATGGTGACGAGTGTGGTTCCGCTGTTCGATGTAATTTAGCGGCGCAAGCTGGAGCAACGGGCTGTCTCATATACAATGTCGGTGCAATCGCAGGTCTTTTTTCTTCATCATCGTTTATTCTCAAATTGAAGTCATTTTTCAGGTTCATCCACTATCCCGAGTGGAAGCATTAGTATGGCAGATGGCTTGAAGATTATCGCAATTGTGACAAACAACCCGTCAGCTATATTTACGTTCACGAATTCGCAAGGACTTGCTCCCATTGTGAGTAAATTGAATTTTTGTCATTCCCAAAAAAATCTTACTGACTCTCCATCGAAACGTCCTAAATCTAATCAGAACCTCTTTGAATCAGTCCTGCTCTCAAGGAGTCAGTTTATATTTGTCTTATGAAGCAACAAAGAAGGTGACGACATGCTTTTAAGATCAGACTACAAGCGGTGAATAATGATATCCTAGAATCTTGGAATTCAATAGAATTTTACAGAACTCTGTGGAATCCAAGGAAATCCTGCATTCCGAATTCCACAGAATTTCAATGAATTTAGTGGCATTTCATAGAAATTCATAGAATTTCAGGTGTCCGTTATTTATCCCTTTGGCATAGATACTTGCTAAAAGCTAGTGGCAAAGATGATTTAAGTAGACGACTTAAATTCCTATCTGGCAAAGTTTCCATTTGGCATCTGGTAGAAAGCACCTGCTTATGAAGTTATCATTCTTTACGTCTTCAACATATTTTCAATTTGTTCGGCCTTCTTCAAAGTAATTACTACCACGAGTCTCTATGTGAAGAGAACGCAAGGGAATATTTGTATCAACCTAATGATTCACATTATGTAAATCACTTTGTTTTATATCAGTTTTAAGATAATATAGGAAAGCTTACCCCATGCATATTTTCCCACAGTTTTCAAGGCTTCTTCAAACTATGATTTTCTTCTTTGAAAAAATTACCGGGAAATGTATTCTATTTTCAATCAATGTACAGTCGACAGGAGGAACCCCTTCAAGTTTCACGTCAATCGGTCTCACTGGCGACTTGCTGTTTAAACCCCAAATTAGTGGCATCGGTGGCTATGTTTACTCGACTATTTCATCCTTTGCTGCCGAGAAACAAAGAACTTCGAATGCATATGCTACCCTATCTGGTACAAGTATGGCAACGCCGTATGTTGCAGGGTAAGTATATGCTGGCGTACATAGTTTAATCCCTCAGATGTCAGATTCGCCCAGATCAACCTAGGGTTAGACGTTTAATTTTTAAGCTAATTTTGGACATATCTCAGCTTATCTGAGATAGGACACCAACACAGACAATTGTCTTTATCCCATTAATATTATAGATATATTTCGTTGACAATAATCAGGCACATTTTATGATATTTTCCCAACATGCCGAGTGTACAGTCGTATCTTTTAACCACTTCAACACTCCAAAAAGTAATTACTTACTACTTCTCACTTTCTAGAAAATTGTGAAAGTAGCCAGTAATAAACTCTTCCAGGTCTTTATCCATACCTTTCAAAAAATAAACATGTTCAAACATCAAGTCTCTTGCAGACTCAAGTACGAAAATTACGTTTTATTTCTGGCGAATGCGTACAGTACTGGCAAAAATTATCACTCTCTATTAACATACTATTAAAAGAATCAATTAAATCAACTGAGTTGCACAAGAGAAATCTGTATTAACTTTCATACAGCACTTAGGGAACATCCTGTAGATATGTTCAATTACTTCGAAATTGATCCTATTTGTTGTTTTTTTAAAGAACTTTGGCACTCTATCTTGCACATATTGGTAATCCTGGCCCAGAAACAGTGAGTAATGGATGTCAGACAAATTGTCGTCCGTCGTTCGAAAAAGTTGTCAATTTATTCCAATCAAATGCCATGCCAGTGAATATTTACAGCACATCTCTTCTTGCCTCTGTTGCCCAACAAGGTGCCGGACTGGTCAATGTTTTCCAAGCCATCCAGGCCACGACTTCAATTTCACCCAGTCAACTCGCATTGAATGACACACTGAGACAAGACACATCGTACACTATTGAAGTGTTTAATTTGGGCAACAAAACAGCCGTATACAATATCGCCCATTCCGGAGCTGCATTGGCTACTGGGTTACAGAAAGGAAGTGACCAGCTTTTGGGCCAACCGATCTATTCAGCTGACTATGCTGTAAGCTCTATGTGATGAATTGACGTTAAGTAGAAAGATTTGTTTCGAGAGTCTGTTGATAGGGTCTTGTTGACGTTGCAGGTTGTTCTAATACGAAACTGAGTAAAATCCAAATGCAGTGGAAACTTGCTTGTATGTTGTTCAAGCATGAACGTCGCAAGCAGCGACTATAGAGTGACCCTCAGTCTTGGAAAATTTTCACTTAGCATCAGCGGATTCCCATTTTGCTTGATCAACAATTATCCAAAAATTCGATCGGTTTCTCGTCGACTAAAACTGGTTTACCCATTCAAGCCTGATTGCTTCGAGATACCCTGACTTCAGACATGTCATACTAATTTTGAAAGATTTATTTTTCGAAATTGTAGATATCTGATGTCTCTAAATAGGCTTAAGCTAGGAGACTGAAGATGATTCTTTATTATGGCCCTAGCCATGACTCCTCTTTTCTGCTACTCTCACTCAAAAATGTTCAGCTCAGTAGTATGTTTGATTTCTTTTGCTTGAATTCGCATGTTTTGCAGTTGGATTGACTGTTCTAATTAGACATATTTCGGCTGTAGCTGTTCAGTCATTGAAACTGATTTGTAATTTTCCCTTCTGATGATTAGTCGATGATTAGAAACCAATGATTTATTGATATAAAATATAGTCGCATTTATGACACCATTTGCATGTCACGCGTTGTGACAGCAAATGTAAAAGGATTCAAAAAATCTGACCTTTTCTATACATGCGCAATAAATAAGATGAAAAAAATAACGAATCAAACTCTAGTAATATGGTTTTTTATATCAACTTATCTTCTGCTAGTGTTTTTATGGTTTCCACTACTAGCATGAACATCGATATCAATCCATTTTTACTGTTTCTGATTTGCTCTTCCCAACGCAGAGCATATCAGATCTTTCAAATTTTTACTGTATAAATTTCAGTCGTTCAAATCCATTCCTTTAGAAAAGAGGCTTATGGACTAATCAAATGGTACTAGAATTTAAATGCACGTAAAAAACAGTGTCAACCCGAAGCGATAATGAACACCCAGGTCATATTCTCTATTAAAAAAGTGTCGAACAGAACCATTCTCCGGTACCATTTTATGAATCTCTTTTCAGTTCTAAACGTATTCAATAGAACCAAAACAGAGTTCTATTCGGCACCTTTTATTTACAGAGTATAGTTGCAAGAGAAAGTTATCAAAGATCATTTCATTAGAATTGAATCCCATATGTTTCATATAGTAAACATATATTATCTTTCTTAACATAAAAAGATTGTCGATATCCAGCCAACTACCATTGAACTTGATCCTGGAAAATCAGGTATGATTACTCTTCGATTTCAAGCACCTTGCAATGCCAACGCGGCTCTTCTTCCCATCTTCTCGGGCTTTATCAATATTACAAATAATGTGAATGACCAAGTTGCTCATATTCCATGTGAGTATTCATAACTAATAGCTATCTTTAACCGTTATTTTATGTGCAAATGTATCTCTCTGTAGATGCCGGTGTTGTTGGAGACTACAAGAATGCACGCATTCTTGTGCGAAATAGCTCGTCAGGTATCGTTACTGGCATTCTAAATTCAAATAACATCTATATTTCAAATACACAACAAGAGAATCTGAACCTATCAAATGGAACCCGGGTCATACTGGTCACAGCATGGGCATCGCGCATTGTTTTCGTGGAGGCTGTCTCGGGCGAAAATCAAGTTCTACCTAGTTTAGCGACAAGGTAAAATACGATTTCATCTCATACTTTGTTACTACTACTTGATTATCGGCTCGAAGTCATCAGAATATATAGGAGAAAAACTAATTTTGCTTCGTTTTTTGTGAGACTCCGCTCATGTTGGAGTGCAATAAGGCTAAATTATGTGAAGCAGTTTAAACATATGTTAGCGAAATTCCTGCAGGATTCAAGATGCAAAACATGATAACGTCGTTTTCTACAAAGCATCTGCGATGGTCTATAGCGATTTCTCGGAAATCGTCTGTCATGATCTGTGTGTGTAGAGGGAGAGGAATGAACGGCTGAACGCCAGATCCTATTCTCTACCTTAAATACTTCAAAACTCCTTTCAGATCTTGTTTCGTTAAAGCCTCAGCATTCTCCTGTTAATACTCGATCTATTTCACCAAGATACATCCACAAACGTAATCTATATAGTGTTGGACAAAAACCTGAGAATCAGGGGAAAATATTGAGCGAAAAACGATTCCACATTTTCTCTCTTCGCTAAATGTTAAAAGAGGTCGCTTCAATGCTCGATATTGAATTGAATTCATTTCTAAACTGTCTTTTCGTGTTTATCGAAAGATATCCCGCAAAGTTTTTGGTTATCACTTGGTTGAACGATTTTTGTATAACTCTTGAAAAAGTGGTTAGGCTTGAAACAGGTTCATGAGAAATTATGCTACATGAAGATGTGTGATGATGATAGGTGAATTTTTCCTTGCAGGATTGAAAGAAAGCAGCGATGAAATTTGTGAGTAACAGTAGGAGAGAACTTTTTATCCACCTTTTAAGAAAATACTATTTCTCATCTAATTTCACCCAGATGAACTACTATTTATTCGTCAGGTGCCTTCTAAAATGTTAACGAGGTTTACCCGTAATTATGATGAATGTATGGAGTCACTATTTAAAAAATTCCTCTGTCGAATGTCTTTATCAAAAATTGATACTATAAGGTCTTGGGATTGTAGTGCGAAGAATATATAAAGTGTGTAGTTACCAATCACCTTGAAGAAGAAGGAACAAACTGATGACTGTCTCACTACTTTCGTTTTGCTTTGCACTTTCAGGTTTTAAGTAAATCAGCTCCGGTAAAGATAAACTAAATAGAAATCGAAATTTCACAAGTTTAATTCAACATTAACCTAGGAATTTGCTGGGTACGTTTCGATGAATATGAAAAGACATTTCAAAATTTAATTCGATTCGATATCGAACATTGAGACAACCTCTTCTAAAATTTAGTGAAAAGAAAAAAACTGCAGTCGTTTTCCATTTAATAGTTTTCCTTTAATCTCAGAGCTTTTAAATGCATATGAATTTAATTGACAATGGAGGTTCCCAAAATCAAACAGCCGTGTTTTACTAATCGTGGCTAGGGAATAATATCTAATCTCTTTGCAGTTACGGTTACATATCCACTCAACCCAGACAAGCACCAGCATTTTACATAAATCTAGTAAGAAATACAGCAATATCCTTCCGATCGTATTCACAATCGTATGAGATCACTTGGCTTGGTCTGGTTAGTAAATTTGTTTCGAATGGAAGCTCGTTATGGCTTGAAACCGCTCGTCTTCCTAATGGTCAATATAAACTTCGATTTTCGGCTCTCAAACACTTTGGAAACGAGAAGAATGCCGAAGATTATGACATCTATGAGACACCAACCTTCAATTTAATTGGCTCGTCCACGACAACTGTTTCGTCCACATCAACACCATCGTCCAACGCAACAGAGTCGTCCATTGCAACACCAATCTCGTTAAACATTCGTGAACTATTGATCTTTCTCAATCTTGCTTTCTTATTTTATTAAAATTAATAGCATATGTAGTCCTTATTCTCGAAGCATTATTGACTTTTCATTGATTGATCTTCGTAACTTGGCTACGAAAGGGTGAATGTAGCTGTGAGTGTAGGTGTGGGTGAGGTGTGGACGGAGATGGAACTGGTCTAGTCTTTCCCAGACCGGTACCAGTACCGGTAAAAACTGATCTACCGCCAAAACCCAGTCTAGCGATTAAAACCAACCTACCGATAAAAATTGACCATACGCATACCCTGATCGAATTTTTCTCCAAAAAAAAAACGATTATTTTATGTAAAGTCATTCAATTTGTTGAATCAAATAAGAATCGTTTCTTTCTATATTGTAGATTGATTAGGACGATAAAAAATTAAACAGCTCAATTTCAAACGAGACAATAAAAAAATGTAGGTATTATGTATTTCTTTTTTAATTTTAGGCATTGAACAGTGAAGAAACAGATAACAAGAGGTAAGTTATCTGGTTTTTTTTATCACTTAATATTATTTTGTTTTCTTTTCCATTTAGCCATCAATATCATCGTGTCAGGAAGAAGTTCTTTGTTACAATTGACTGAGTGAGTTATACAGTATGAGTGAGATCTCTTTTATCTTATAAGGCCTTCCGAGTAAGTCCTAAAAACTCGATCAGGAACTATTTTGGTTACTATGGCACACGACTGGGCTTTCACCAGACTCACTGACAGATCTCTGATCTGGAATGCAGAATATTCATATAGAACTATGGAATTATTATGAAGTCTTTGAGGTCAACATTTATGTTGCGATGTTAGAAAATGTTGGATTGACTAACTATTAAGTGTAGTTCTTCACAAATTTCTTTTTGTTCCTTCTTTACCGACGTAGACATCAAGAAATGTCATTTTCTATCGCGGCAGTCTCAAGAAGTGAAAGCCAGAATATACTCGCTCAAATACATGAATAGAATTTTACGAGCAAATCGATAGCATCCATTTTCAGATCTTTAATATGATATTTTAGAAAAGACATCCGTGGATACAGCTGATTACAGGTAATGAGTCATATCGAAAGCGTTCTTGAGAAAGATGTCGATATGCGTTCATAGAGTTCTTCCAATGATGAATTTTATCATGGCTATTTTTTCATTTAGATCATAACTGTGATCAGCTGATTGATCGAAGTGTGACTCTCTCGAGTCACCGGCGACAAAGAGAATGTTTGATTTCATTGATACATAAATATGTTTAAGAATCGAGCAATTTATGATAAATTTCGGGGACGATTATTCGTTTTACTATGAGGTACCAGTTTTTTTTCGAAACTTGAGATTCATGCTTCGTATCACATTTCGCATTCAAGTAAACCTCGAATACCATCTAACTAGTTATTAGACTATAGTCGTTTGGTCTTACATTCAAGTTGACGAATAATAGACTACATAATAGCATAATATTATTAAGGATTAATGGAACTGAATTTATGAGAAGATTGAAAGAAGACATGTGTGCACAAGAAGTGCGCCATACGCTTTCAAATTTTGTATATTTCACGTAGATGATAACAAATTTATACAGAAAAACAATATCTTCATTGATTATCGACTGTGCTCATCACCAAATCCAGATGTGTTGTTTCCAATATTTGTGTTTAATGAAAGTTATTCGATGTTATAGTCTGCTTCTACATTTATATGAACATTTTTATTTTCCTCTTCTTCGTTTTCTGTCGACTTCTCGATAATTCTTTGCATTCATCATATAATTCATAGGCTCCTTCGACAAAGGATCATCGTTAATAAACTGTACCAGCATCGACGTATGAATGAGTATACTTATTTTTCTGACTATCTCACTTGATAGTGGTCATTCTCCACACTATCACTAATTAGTTAAGAGTTGTCGACTTTTAAAATAGAATTAATTGAGCTGGATCGAGAACTCTATATCATCATAGCCCTAATACATGATAAATACCGTTTACTGAAGAAAAAAAAACTAGAAAAGTTCAAAAAAACATATAGTAAAGCTTTCTCTCGATATAAATGTTAGAAAGATGACGATTGTTACAGTTATGACTGTTGTTGATTTTGTCCTTGTATTCTTTCTTTTAGAACATAATAATGATATCGAATAAGACGATAAATCATTTCAACGAATTCCATTATTGATAAAAAACTTACACCAATCCATAAACCTGTATGACCACCGACATTTGAAAGAACATCAATACCACTAATTGATGCATCTTGTGTATAAGTTTCTATACGAGGTGTTTGACATACAACATCAACAGAAACAAAATTGTTTTCAATTTCTGATTGCCATGTTGTTGACCAATTTTTAGGTAATGGAATATTAGATGTTTCAACGAATTTTTTTATATCTGATAAACGCACATCCGATGGAGCTGATACTACCGATGGTGTAACAGTAAAATCTACAGCTGAACATGCTTGTGAACAATCTGTACAAAACTGATCCCAGATTGAATTCGTACTTCTGATACGAATTGTTGCATTATCATAACATCGATCAGTTTTGTTACAAAGAGGTGCTACAATAATTTTATTTGTACTGGGTAAAACAATTGATTGAGCAGTCCACTGATGTGGACTTACACATCCACATTCGTGATATCTATTTAATAAAAATAAAAAAAATATATATACATTTCTATTTTGATTAATTAATTATATTTACACATATGTTTGTACACATAATATATAGCATAAAATTTGTGAATAAGCATAATCGGCACCTTCATATCGGTCAAACATTGCTTTCATAGCAAGAGGAACTTTATTTGTACAATCAGAGTATGGAGATGGCAATAATTGATGTGTTTTCTTTTTATAACTTAACTTATGTTTTAGTCCTGTTTTTAGCAGAATACCAGCTACGTCAATGAGTGGTAATTCTGTATTATCATGAATCATGGCCACCATACCAACTGATACTTCTTTAAAAGAAGAAAAAAAAAATTTTTTTTTCATAAAATTGTATTCCTCACTTTACCTTTTGCAACATATGGAACATATTGATGACTGTGTGTATAGAGTTGTAATTCAAGTTTACCTGTACCTATATTATCAGTGTTATTCCTAATACTACTTCGGTTTGACGCCATTTTAGCATTGAATGTATAGCAAAGACCAAAAGAAGATGATAAAAATTGAATAAAATCAGTAGTTTGACAAACTTGGTTGTTGTATGAACAAGAAATTAACATTGAACTCAGAGGAAAAAAATAATTGTCTATGGGTTGATGATTATTCAATAAATATTGAAAAAAATCACGAATATAATTGTTTTGTTCGGCAGTAATAGTCCTTGTATCATTAGTATTAGTAATATTCCAGAAATTAGTAAAATTTAAAAAAGGTTCAATAAAAGTATCAAAACGAACCGGTGAATAATTGCAAATACTAACTGCTGGAAATGCTTGAGAACGTAGAACAATAATGGATACTGATGTTTGTGTTGGATAAGTAAAATATTTTTCTATCGATTCAACAATAAAATATAACATGATACCAGTAAAAGCAATTGTTGAAATTGTCCAGAAAATCCGATTTTGTATACTTTCACTACGTGCAATACCTGGAATACCTTGAGTTGAAGTATTAAGACTAAACTCACGAATAATAGAACGACGTCGACGAAATTTTCTATCTAATTTTAATGCTTCAGCATTGATTGGGAAAACAGTAGCTATATGTTTAACAGTTGTATCTGTCATTGTTTAATTGATAGTGTAGTTTGTTGTCCTTATTTCAGTCTATATATATATATATATCATAATGATTATTTGGAGAGTAAGAAAAATATGTTCATATATTATTCAAATGAAATAAAATATTTAATCATGTCTTGTTAATTTTAAATAAATAAAAAAAATTTTCCAGGTAGGATATTATTAAAAATGACATAAATAATTTGTTTTACTCGATTAATAGGTATCTAATTCATTGAATTTTTATAGTTTTTTTAAAATGTTTTATTATGAACTACGCATATATGATTTGTTCTTGTCTTTTGCGATCGTCCATTGGAAAGGTCATTATTAGTTGGTGTTCATATATTTTAATTCTGCAAATTAACAAAAAAATTACAATTTTAATAGTGTTTATTCAACGGTTCAAATAAATTTATTTTTTTAATATTTGTATATCATTCCTTCCAAGGATTGTAATTAGAAGTGCTGAGTTTATTAGAAATAAATGTAAGTTCTTCCAGATTTCTGACTAACAACACTATTTGTAGAAAATAATTTATTTGAATCCATTTTCATACATAACTAAACAAAGAATGTAACTTAACTAACGATTAAGTAATTTTATGCTTTCTTTTTCAGGGAGAGGTAGTCAAATGAGAATAGAAAACATCTCGTTGGATGTTGGTGTCAATATCAGTAATCATTCCATCCAACTCACCCACACACACATTGCGTGATATCAAAGTGAGCTGATAAAATACAATTAAGTGTAGTATGATGATTTTTGATTTAATAGAATAGTCCGGTGCATGTCTCTTGACAGCAATAGACTTCGATCACAGTAAAAAGCATTTGATTTGCGAAAAATGCGCTCTTATGATTATTTTTTTTTTCAAAAAAAAGCATGCAAAAACTCAACAGAAACCAGACCAGTCGTTTACCGTTTTTGGTTGCAAGTCTATCAGTAGTCACCTCCGTCTTTCTTCTGGAAACCTTTTGGGGAAAGTTTTCAAGCTACAACATGCTCGTAAAAAATCTCTTTTTGTTGTCGAACACAGCACCTTGGATTTTTCTTCCAACCACGTGATGGTAGTCGATAAGGAAAGAAGAAGAATTCGTGCTTTTTTTCTTCATCTACTACAGAATGAAACATGATTGCACAACATATTTCGTTTGAGTGAGTTAAGAAGGTAGTACACGGTAGGTGTAAGATCACAAAATGCTGTTGTCTATCGAACATTTGCCTGCTGAAGTGTGGCTTTTCATTTTCTCATTTATTGAGGCGCACGACTTGCAGAGAGCATTTTCCCACCTCAATTCCTTCATCACTGGTCTACTTCATTCACCTCACCTTCGTGTTTGCTTGAGTGTAACAAGAGGTGGATGCAAAGAGTTACGTCCATCTCGTATTCTCTTTTGCCATGAAGCAATTGAGATATTGCGTGCCAATATCTATGGTTCTTCCGATGTTCTTATCTTTTTTGATACCCCTCGCACATTTTCTGGTCTTCGTTCACTCTCACTCGATATAAGACAACAAAAAAAATGTCGCCTCTTGGTTTCTATCCTACCTCGACTTCCGTGTCTCGAACATTTAACAGTTTCTTGCAGTATGTTCAGTGTTGATTCTGCCATGGTACCTCTTTACACGGAAATACTAAAACTTCCACGATTAAGAATGTGTGAACTCACACTGTCACGAGACAGTTTCTTCATACCTGGATTCTATCCAAATTTGCCGATTAGCAGTTCTATACGACGCTTTCATATAGATGCTTGGATTCGATCTGCTGATCTGTGCCATCTGCTCAAATTCATGCCTTCATTACGCTTTCTAAATGTCTATCTTTATCACCACAATAGGAGTAGTTGGAATGATCTTTCGTTACCTCGATTAACCAAAGCAGCATGCTTATTGTTGATCAATGGACATATCGACTTGGAAAGTCTCGCTCAAATAGCACCGAATCTCAACTATTTTTATCTCCATATTGAACCATACAACGGTCAGTTTACTAAAGACTTCTTCGCGACACACGGATTTACCAGCCTTGAACTGAAACGTGTCCATGTTCAAATGACTTTGAAAAGGAACATCAATTCGGGTATGCTCGAACTAATGCCGTCTGTTATAGTAGAAGGACAAAAGCGTACTGAAGAAAAAGTGGATGGAGGACGTGGGTCGCCCGAATACAGCATTCTTAAGAAATACTTTAATTTCGTTTGAAATACTTATTGTCTGTTTTTCTTATTTTTATTATTATCGCTGCTGAATCATACCAGACTCTGATATTCCGTAAATAAACGGATAAGCAAGCACTGAGAAAAGGGAATTTTATTTTTCCTTTTGAGACAGAATGTGGGTGTGTCGGTATAGGTCTGGATGAGGATGTGAAGAGAAAATCCATACCCACACCCACACCCAAATAAAAAGAATACGGATAGAGATGTTTTATAAATTGAATTTAACCTAGGAAAATGTAAATCTTCATTTAATTTCATTTTCTGACTATTCTTTTTCTAATTATTTGCCTTAGAATAAGATCGAATGGATGCGAAATTTCAAGAACTATGATCGAATTTTGTACGAACTTTTTTCGTCTTGTCCGCTTTGATCTTTTGAATTTATGTGTACTCATGTATGATGAATTTGCAACTTTTGTCTTACCCCTATTAACATACATTAATTGAAAAATTTCTGTGCGATTAATATGTGAAACACATTGGAGCAGTTGATATTCTAAATGATAAAGTGTTTACCGACATATGTTTTACTTTATGAAAATATCTGTCATGATCTGTGTTGAGTCATTATTAAGGTATATATAGGAGATTCAAAGCCCTGTTCCTATATAATTTAAGATTTTATCTAGATCATGTTTCACAAAAGACAAGCGTATGTACAGCAGGGAATCGAGAATATCATAGTGATATTTTTCGTAGTCGACACAAAACTGATATAATAACAGAAAACAAAAAGGCAAAGAAAGCATTTTCTCTATGAATTTAATCTATAGATTGACAACATACTATTAGAAAAACTATGATCAGCATATATTTCGAATATACTTCATAGTCAACATAATACTTTATCAACACATGCTTTTAATAAATTGATCGATTTCTATGAGAAAGATAAAATCGTGATTAAACCTGGAAACATTCTCATGAAAAAAAAATTATTTTCTTACTTAAAAAGCATCACAATAAGTTTTTATCTTTTTCTTTTTTTTGTTGAGAGAGTAAAACAAAAAAAACAATGTTGCATAATAGATTTATTTTTAATACTAGAAAAATGATTTATTTTATCTAATCTTCTGAAATAGGAGAAATTATCAAAATCAAAATATGTTGAAAAGCTGTTAGCTCAATCCCTGTGGGATTAAAATGTGAAACAAGATATACCTATTGTTACTAATTCCCTAAAAACTGTTGTTTTTTACGTATACTGGGCATAGTCCACCAGCATTGCTAAATTTGCAGAGTAGAACTTCATAAAGAAAATACTCCAATTAGATGTCAGTTATACAGAACATTTGATAGTCTCTTGAAGGTGGCTATCAGTCGCTGTGACGGCCCATGAAGGACGTCTGTCACAGTCTGCGGGGGGAGGGCACAGTAGACAGCCAGGTAACAAAATCGATTTTCGAGATTTAAACCCATATCGTAGCTAGCATTGAAGATCCTATGGTGATGCAATTAAATTCATCTTTGATACTGCTTTATATCGAGTATCTGTTAAATGACAGATGCTACAAAGTACATGAAATAGATGAAAATCATTAATGGGGCCATATAAGTAAAATGTGTGTTTTCAAATTAAGGTTCTAATTATATCCAGCCGTTCTTCTATAGTCATAGAGTGTGGGTATGGATGAAGACATACCATTCATCCAGACAGACCCACACCCTCATCATAAAATCAATGAACTATAGTGTATTCGAAAGTAGACACTTAGCTCTATCTAACGAGCTATAAATCACAAAATCGACAAATTTCGCCAAAATTGACATTTTTTTGGGGGAGAGGACCCCCTTAATCATTATGTTCCATTGTTGGCGAATCATATGATAATGACGATGGTGATTCGATATCCATATTTATTTCTGTAGTTGATTTACTAGAAGAAATGAACGATACAAATATCGAATAAATGTCAATTAACATTGATGCCCAGGTGAAACAAGCCCGGTCGTAAACGGCCGTTTTTGATCGTATTTGACCTGTTTGGTATGCGCCGTATTACGGCCGTATATCGCCGTGTCGTAAACGATCGAATACGGGATTTTTCAATCGTTTTTCACCGTTTCTAATCGTATACGGCACGGTGATATACGGTCGTATTACGGCGCATACCAAATGGGTCAAATACGGGCAGTTTACGGCCGTATCCTTATCATTAACGGTCGTTTACGACCCGCTCACGGTCATCGTAATGCTGGACCTGGGTGTACTTTTACAGCATAATAAATCAATTATAATAAATAATATTATTGCAACCATGAATATAACCCATTTTGGAAGTATGTCGATCAAATGCATGAAATAGGTTAAAGCTATTGTACCTAATGCATTTATTAATACAAATTTGTATTTTAAAACTAAAAAAAGATCAACAAAAAATTACGTAAGTTCGCCGAAGATGGAATATTCTAAAAGGATATTTAGTACTATTTCAAGGGAGATATTGAAAGTTCTAGAATGTGAGCAATATGTTTAAATTACTGAGAGTTTATCTCCTGAAAATTTGCTGTTTAATTCTCGAAAAACTATCGCAGTTGAACGGTTAAAAAGCACAAGTGATTTTAGACTTTCAGAGAAAGATGAAGAGCTTAATTACAAAGTGCATTTTCTTCTAAAAACGAAGGCAGTACATATGAATACTTTTCTATGTACTACTTACTTTTATGCGAAGTCAAAACGGAGATAAAGAACCATCAAATATAACGCATATCGTTAGCAAAAAATAATTATCAAAGATCAGTTAATTCTTAAGATACTCTTTGATAAATAATTAAAATACTGTAGAAAGATGCAAGAAACAGCTCCTAATTATCTTAATTATTCGGATATGACTAAAAAAATGCTTTATTTTTTGATCTATCCACATGAACATATCAATGAACAATTGTATTTATAAGCGTAACATTGATACAAATTGTTTCTAGACTGGTAAGTGAAAAAAACCCAGCAAAATAAAGTCGACTGTAAGATACCGCACCAAAATAAAAGAGAAGATATAAAGGTCAGTGAGTTCGTTTCACGTGCAATATCTGACCGAATGTTTTATTTTAATAATAAAGAGAGAGAGAAAACAACAACAAAAAAAGAAAAAGGAGGACGTGTTATATAATGAGTGGACAAACAGTAACAACAACAAAATAATAATAGAGGTCAGGTCCTAACATCGACTAACAAAAAACAACAAGATGAGCCTGCAGCAACACAAATGACAAATTAAGACCGCATTATTAATCTTTCTTATCATGTTTTTCTATGTTAACCTTCAGTTTATAAGCAACATTTAAAATAGTTGCCAGCATCGACTGACCTAAATTAAATAAAACGTTCGATATTTGGTAATTACAATATGAGAATAAAACGGACATGAGCGAATATTTTATTTTCTAACAGATAGAAAGTAAACTATCTTCTAGAAACGGACCCTTGTTTAGTTTCTTTTGACATACTGATTAGGACTCTTAATCTGTTCTGGCTTATAAGAATTTACTTAAATCAATCAGATATTTTCTTCCTCCATTTTATAGTTGAGGCATAGGCTGATAGTAAATGAAAAAGAAAGGCAATATTCCTGGTCGTTCATAAACTGATTTTGAAATGATTCGAATATCAGTGACAGTCTTTTGTCAATGTCGACGCGTTTATAAGCATCTGATTAAGAATTCAATTTGAGAAGATCATAAGATAATATAGATATGAATATCATTGATAGTTAAATTATTAAGTAGATTCAAGGAAAAATACTTCAATCTTTTTAATCTTATTTCCTATGTAGATTGTTTCTTTTAAAAGTATTTAAAGCACTAAATTTTGAGACTTTTCCAAATGCAATGATATCCATTTGTTGATCTGAATTTTCATATTCAAAATTTTGACAAAGGAAACAAATTCCGTTCAACTACGGTGCTCTGTTTATTGAACAAATATTCAGTTTTGAAAAAATCAAATACTCACTATTTGATTTTAATTTTTGTTTATTATTATTTGAACATTCACTCGACGATCCAACAGATATTTCAGGAGAATTATTGATTATGGTGTTTGATCTCTTGTGTAATAATGTGCTTGATGAATTCTGCCAAACAAAATAAACAATATTAGCTTTATAATATTTCGATTATTAACATATAGAAAAAATAAGAATGTTACAATTACATTTTGATCTACGATTGCTCTCACAAAATTATGAGTTATAACAGACCTGCTACTTGAGAATAAAGAACCAAAATTGAGTATATACTTAGTTACCCATTCATCGACTTCAATTTTTGTTGTAATTATTTCTTCTTGTCTAATAATAATATGAATTAATTCATCTTTAGATAAAGCTTGTAACTAAACAGAAAAATGTTTTTATAATCTCCGTCTATGTGTTTATTGTATGGTTTACCATCATACGATTTTCAGTCATTTTTTAAACATATAATGATAACAACGAAGAATGTTATCTAAAACAAAATCAAGCTTTTCTCAAAAATCATATATGAAACATGCAAGTATCACATAAGCAATCTGAACGTGAGAGGATACTTCTTGATTATTATCATTGATTATTCGCAGAAAAGCGGCCTGTCAGACAAAAAGTACGTAATCATTCGAGAATAATATTAAATTTTCCGTAGAGTAGGAATATACAATCAGTTATGTAGTTCAGTTGAATAACACAACTTGATTTAATTGATGACATAATTGAGATTCTTGTTCACAAACTACTTTTAATAAAGATTTGCGGCTTATCGTTTTTTTGCCCAGTATATTCCGAGGATCAGGTAGATCTCGATCAGGGTTGCCACCTCTTCTGCTTTTTTCTGCTTTTTCGCATATCTTGTCTATTATATTTTTAACTAGCATTCTTTATATTATATTGTATCAGTTTTCCAAAATGTGAAGAAAAATTCTTGTTTCTCGCTGACTGCAAAAAACTGTCAATCTACAACCCTACCAAATAGTTCTGAGACAATCGACAACAGTTTCCAAATACTTTAAATTTAAGTTGACTGTGAAAGTAAAGAATATGTTTGGCATTATTCTTGAGCAACATGCCATATTTTAGTGACCAAACGAATGATTGCTATTTGATGTCACAAAAATAGTATCAAAAATAAAGCATCCAACGACAGAAAGTTCTTGAACAAGTATCTTTTTATTCACCCGTTAACTTTTCTTCGATTCCAGACAGTGTCAATGGAAAAAGCTTGAAAGACTGACTATCATAGATGTTTTCATATTGTAAATTATAGTAGGCTGATGTTTTTCTTAACGGGGTTTACCGCTGTAAAAATGCTAGCGATCTAAAAGAAACTGTTAAAAAACTACTGTGAAATAGGAGACATTATATCTTTTCTGCTTGTGTAGAAGAGCAAGATAAATATAGCAAAATTATACATTTTTGGACTTTGTGTTACATTAAACAATGTACCATAACCTAGATAAAATAGAAATCCAAAATTTTAAAATATTTTAGCTATTTTTACGTGAAAAAAAAACAGTAGGATAGACTTTTGTTTTTCTCTATCATCCAGTGCATTTCTTTGATACTTGAGAGTCCAATAAATGAGTTATTTTGTCGAATTTATTCTGCTCTTCAAAACAAGCAAAAATTACGACATGATTTGTCCTCTTTCACGGTACATTTTTAGCATTTTTGTAGCGGAAAACCTCATTACGAAAAACATCTGACTACTATAATATGTTAAACGAATACATATGTACTGTAGTCAGCTTTTCAAACTCTTTCCACTTATAGTATTTGAAAGTGAAGGAAAGTCAATAGGTGAAAACAACGAGATTTGTTAGAACTTTTAGCCATTGGATATTTGATGTTTGATACTTTTCTCTTGGTCTCAAATTACGAAGATTCATTTGCTCAATAAGATATGAAACTTTGGTTAATAATAGTGCCAAACATATGCTTTTTTTCAGATTCAACTTAAACATAAAGTGTTGGAGAACTTTTTTCGAGTATCCTGAAACTTTTTGCGAGTGCTGTATAAACATATATTGTGCAACGAAGATTTTTTGAAAGCTATTAAATCAGATGTAAAATTCACATTCAAAAGAAAACGAATCCAATAATTCTATTTTTGTGTTTAACTAGGTTTTTTCTTGATTTTGTACAATCAAGTTTGGAAATTGGTGTGAAATTCTTTGTGATTTCATTAAGTCAAAGCTTAAAAGATTGTTTCGCAGCAGAAACACACTTTCTGCTTTTTTTTTTGCTTTTTCACAATAAAACTTCTGCCATTTTCTGCTTTTTGTAGGCTATTTTCTGCTTTTTGAACTTCAAAAGGTGGCAACCCTGTTTATATTACAAAATTCGTGGGAAATTGTCACATTGAAACATTATACAGCTGTTTAATTTATTTACTGATCACTTATTATTATTAACAGCTATAATGATTTTTGATAATGAAAAAAAACAACTTTTTTTTTCGGCGTTTTCCACCAAACTCTCACCGATTGCAGTACTAACTCAATCATTAGTAGAATAAAATTTGATTTTTTCATTTCCATTAATACAGCTCTTTTATAGAGTGCGTCTACGATTTACTTCTAATAAAAAAAAAATATATAAACAAAACTGACCTGTAAACTTTTCATGTCATACTATCAAGACAAGAAAGTGCAGTCAATAAAATCTAGTTATAAATGAATAGATACTATATTCGTCTGCTAGTCACACATAATGGTAATTTTTTTCTTTGTGTTGTTTCTTTTTTCTATTATCCGTCGTCTATCCTTCCTCTTCTTTTCTCTCTCCTCCATTTTCATAATATAAATATTCTCGTTTTAAAATAACATGTGCATATCAACGTTTAACAAATTTATTTACGTTGTGAATTATAGTCTAATCGTTAAGATCGTTTTAACAGTTTATTATTATTTAAATAACTGTATCAGCTATATTATTTACATATTGTGCTCGTTGTTGAAAAATAATATGGCACAAAAAATTTCTCTAACACAGGTATGGCAATCTGAACATACATCAGAAAATTGGTTTCTTATATTTAGGCAATCTTGGAATCATTGGTCGAGATCGAGAAAGAGGTAATCTAATTCTTAAAACTATAACAGAGAAAATATGATGATGTCTGTCACGGTCTGTGTCGATAGCAAATACGTGATGGGTCCAAGTTTCTATTCCTATACTACAACACTCCTTTAAGATTATGTTATTGAAAAACAGGTATTTTTAGATCTTACGACAAAAAGATTCAATTGAAAGTCGCCAAAAAAAAAAATGAACGAAAAACAAAAAAAATTAGATGAAGATTTAAAAAACAAAACAATTGATGAAACAATAGCTGAACAAAAAACTGAAGAAATTGCAGGATTAATTATTATACAATCAGGTCAAGAAGCATTTCTTACACTACTTCAATCTGAAAAAGGTAAAAATATCTAATGAGTATAAAAAGTTATCTTTTTTTTTCTAGATTCGAAAATAAAACGATTGGATAAAAATAAAGAAAATGCGATCCATGATCATGATGAATCAGCTGGTAATTTAGCAAATACTACACATCATCATCAATATGATGCTCATAAAAAATGCAGACAAAATTATTTAAAAAAAAACATTTTATTAATAACACTTTTTTTGTTAACCAGCATTATTTTTTTTAACCACCAGCATCTTTTTTGTTAGCCACCATCATTTAAAATAAATTTCTTTCTTCATCATCTTTACAAAGAGCTATATGATGTTCTATATCAAATCGTAAATGACAATCAATCATTTCAGTTAATATAACAGGATGTTGTTGTATAAAATAAAAAAGAAATTTCAAGATATTCAATCAATTCCCATCGATCCTTCTCTTAGAGAAACAAACAATACCTCGATGATCATCATCGAAACTTTGTTCAATATAATACAGTTATCTACGGTACATAAATAATTGTTGAGGATCTTGCTAATATTTAAGACGCGTAAAGATATGAATGAAACAATACTTTTATTCTTAGAACTTAATACAGAATATCTTCTATAATTCTATCTTCAAATATCATCATCATTATATAGTTACTTATTAGTGCAACATAATTAGTAAATACTCGAATGATTTTTCATAAAACTTTCATTTTTTTATGAAATAATTGTTAATAATTGACATTTCTCTATATTTTATTAATGTCGTTGTCCAAAATATAAGATTTATTTAGCTTTTCAGTTTATTAAACAAATCATAACAAAGGTCCATCTATAGTGAAGGAAAGTAAAGATAGAAATCTTTTGAATGTACTAATGGTATAACCATAAATAATTGTTTCACCTTTGCACAATTGCGTCGCGTTTCTTCTCTTGTGAAATTTTTTGTTGCAATTCTTAAGTTAGTATAAAAGACTGTTAATTCAGTTAAACAAGGTAGATATGTCTTTGTTTCATTTAGAAATTGTTCAACGTAACCAAAATGTGCATTTCTCAGATCAAGCACAGTAAGATGAGGATATTCAGCAATTGGATTCGATCGATTATTATCAGATGAAAATGTGTTAAGATCACAACATGATTGTGATTCTTCATTTATAACACGAAAAATATTCAGTAATGGAAAAGCTCGACCAACCCGAATGAAGAATTCATGGTTGAATGGAACTATATCTTCTACCAATAAATATGTAACATATTTGAATACGGTTTTTGGAAATATATTACCAATAGCTTCGAGACGATCGAATGCAAAAGGAAGTGAGAAAATCGAACACACAACTTTATGAGTATTGATATAATTGACGATCTTAGCCACACGTTGTCGAATATTTTCGTAAGGTAAATAATGAATCGAATTAACATTGTCGATATAAGTACAAATATAAAAAGTGAATGAATGAAGTCGTGGCATATAAAGTAAAATTTCATTTTGAAGATGAGCATCATCAATGAACGTATTTCGATTGTTTATACGAAGATATAAAGTTAATTTTTCCAGACATGACATGCGATGCAGAAGAGGTAGAATTTTATCATCATATTGATCAATTGAATGATAACATTTTAATGAAAAATATTTCAAATTAGGTAAGTCATTCTACATAATAAAAAGAAATTGAAAAATATATTATTTAATTGATCTAAAAATAAATCATGCGTACAGTTGACTAGCAAACTACTTAGTTTTAATTCTTTCTGATTTTCGTCAAAAGATCCATTGTCTATTATTGACGATTAATACAATTTTGTAGGTTGTGTTGAAATTTCCGAATAAACTTCAATCATTCAGTTTTTTCTGAATATTTTTTTAAATAAATCAAAGTGTACAGAATTTGTAGTCAGCTTCATCTTACAATCGATATTATTTGTTAAAACTTACCATGTTGTGAACGATTGATGAAGAGTTATTCATGTAATATATTTCAACAATAAGTGTTGTTAACTGTTTGAGTCGACCATCAAGTAAACAAAGACAATCATCTAAGGTGTACACATTGATGCATAAATGAGTAAGAGTCAAAGAGAAGAAAGTAATCCATGGCAAATCAGTAAGTGACAAGCCTGGATATGACGGAACGTATAGTAAATTGCTAAGTGGGAGGCGTGAATATGCTGGGATGAATGTTCCAATAACACTCAACTGTTTTAAATTTTTGCAGAAATTCAGAATATGTGCATATACATTTTTAATGTAATCTTCCGATGATTCTATTATACTCCTTTGGTCAATAGTTTCAAGAATAAGATCTGTAATTTGATGTTGAAAGATATATCGAAGAGGTGATTCATCTAAAAAAAGAAAAATTTGTCTGTTCTATTTAACATCATTATTGTTATTTTTTAGGTAATGATGTGTATGCTAGGCGCTTACTTGTAAAATAACGTAAAGCAATTTCTTGCTTGAAATTAAAAAGTTTGAGTTTAGTTAATTTTGGATAGTTCGTAGAAAGAAGAATACGTTCCATCGACACTGGTTCAAGAAATAAACATTTCACATTGTGATGAATCCTTGGCAATATATCGATGCAAAATTGATCAAGTTTGCGCGGATCAATTGAGGAAATATTATCCATGGATACAAAAGTAAGAGTAGTACTGAAAATTTTTTCGTGTGCCAGAATGTTAAGTCGTTCATTATTAATGTTCAATAATGAGTAAAGAACATCAATATTGTTTAGTTTCTTCAAAATAATAAGTAATATCTCATTGGATAGATCAAGAAGATGAACATCAGATCGATTCATATTGAATTCTGACTGCTTGACTTGTGTGAAAGGTAAATATATATATATGTTCATTGTTTGCTTCTAACCGCTTTCATCATTGTGAAATAGGATAGGCAACTTCATTGAAAAGTGTAATCTCGATGAATCATCCATTTGGGTCATAGTCATTGAATGTTTTTTTCTTTTTCTTCCGTCAATTTTTCGTATTTACAGGCTGGCTCCCTTATGTTCACTGTATGAAATTGAAAGAAGACATCACATTAAGAAAATTAAAAAAAAAGAAATGTTTATTATACAATTCAGCTAATTGAATTTCATTCATATAATATCTGTTGTACAGTATATTTTTTCCAGCTGTGATCAAATTTGAGTTTCAAGAGAAATTATATCATACATTCAATGGAATAATATATTCTTGAGTGTCGAATCTATGTATATACAAAGATAAAAATCATTTGTGTATTGACGGAATAATCAGGGATGCCACCTCTTCCGCTTTTTCACCTTTTTTCCGCTATTTTTCCGCTGTTCCGCTTTTTTATATAAAAAGGTGATGTATTTTCAAAATATGTTCAGAGCAAAACTTATTATTGTCGAGTAAAGTCTTACTGTTTACGCATCCAGTTAATCATCATTCTTGTTATGTCATCCATAAAATCAATGAACGAACACAAAGTTTTTCTATGTTAAAAGGCTTGCGTACTAATTGCCTGTTCGTGAATTAAAAACATCATTCTGCTCTCAACTGATAGTTAACTTCTTTTCAGATTATTTTGCTTTCTGTATTTACCCAAAAAAAATTTCCAATCCGAAAATTTAAACGTTTTTTATGATCTAAAGATATTTGGATTGCAAATGATGAAACCGATCATGAACAATTAATAACAAGATCACCAATTCTGAAATCAAATGAAAATAAAAATATTGAAGTCATACGAGGTGCTTATTAAAAGATAAAAAAAAGGCATGTTTAATTCACAATGGCTACTTAATCCTCAGTTCGCATCATTATTACGACAGTATAAACCAGATTCAGCTAAAGTTCTTTGTATTACCTCTAACGAACATTTTTCAGTATGTGATGGTGGAAAAAATGATATTGATCGTCACATAAAGTTGAAAAGACACAACAACAACAACAACATAAAATCATTCGGTATAAATCGACAATTGATAACATCAACTATGAAATCTAACAAGGAGGTTGAAGAAACAGCAGCTGCAGAAGGTACTTTTGTATCCCATGGAGTGAAGCAGAGTCATTCTTATTCATTTCAACAATATTTTATGTTTTGCAATTTTGTTAAAATAAAAACAGAATGCTATAGATATGAAAAAGTTGAAAATCCTCATAAATGCTAAAAATCCGCAACAAGATAAGTTTCCACTTTTTTCCGTTTTTTCAACTTCATGAGGTGGCATCCCTGAACTCGTTACATGTTTTGTGTAGGGTTTTCGTAAAGAATGGCAGACACGAAATCCGTGATTTAATCAATTGCAGAGGTTTCATAACAATACAAATCAGGGTTATCGTAGCGAATTTTACAGGGTGATTGTAACCGGTGTTATGATATGTATCATTTTAGAACATCAACACCTCAATTACAGCGATTTCGTAATGAATTTTAAGGATCGTCGTACTATACTTTACTGAAGAAATATGAGTGACAATATAGAGGAACAAGACGATTGGTTACGACAGTCCTGATCTTTCGTTACGATAACTTCGCATATCTAACCCAAACACACACTACTTTTATGGTACGACAACTCTATATGGACAGTTATATCTTTCCTGTAAAATTGGTTACGACAGCCCTGATTTGATACTCTTACGTTCTCTGAAATATATCGTGAGAAATTCTATTTTAACTGTTACGACAGCCCTGTACAATTCGTTACGATAACCCTCCACATAACGAGTTGCAACGCTCCCTTTCTCACTCAATTCCCAAATAATAATCTTTTGTTGTTGTTGTTGTTGCACTACTGTAAGTTTTAGAACAATAACTTTAACAGACGATTGCATCTAATACTATGTCTAATCAACCGTTGCATACTTGATTTTGAAATAAGAAAGTGTTTAGCCAACTATTACTGAGTATAATCAAAATTTGTCGATTAGAATATTTTTCGATATAAACGTACAGTACAAAATTTTGAACTTCTTTTAGTTTTATCCTTTTTAATCTAAAAGACCAAGATTTTGTGAACAAAAGTTATACCATTGTGCAGAGCAGAAAATTCTCTATCTGTTGGATACTAAACGAGTCTTTTAGAATAAAATTAAGGAAGATAAAATGAGAGGACAAAAGTGGCTCATTTAATCTGGCCACCCTTTAGAATTGATTCTTTGCCTGAGCCAAAAATTTGGTTATTTCATAGACAGGGTGTCTCATAAATAGCACTATGATAAAAAAATTCAAATATCTCAACTTTGGTTCAATCAAATAGGCTGATTTTTTCGGTAGTGACAGAATTCTATTCAAATTTTTTTTTATATAGATAATTTGAGCAAACACTTCTATTAAGTATTATTGTTGATCTCACTAAAGAAATTTTATCTATTATCATGTAAGAAACATATATATAAAGACTTTCATAGATAATTTTTAGTTGTTACTGAAGAAAGCAACAAGAAATTAAAATAAGTTCTATAGATGATATAACATTAATACAAATAGACCAAATTTTCAAGAGTAGTAATGCATATCTTTGTCAAAAAATAAATTTTTTGTTGAACAGAAAAAAAAAATTCTCAGAACTTATCTTACAATCCAATACTTAAAAAAAAATCAATTATCTGTCAAATTATAATAAGCTAACACTTATTTTTCATTCGTTTATCAAAATATCAATTTCATATAACATTGATTTTTTTCAATCTAAGTGAATTTTATTCCATCATCAAATACATTGAACAGACAAATACATTGATTACAAATAAAAAGATGAATAAATATGTGACTTAATTCATTTGTTTCTTAATAAACATCAATTCTCATGAAATGGTAATAATAATAATAATAAACAAAAAAAAAAAATATTTAAGTCAAATGCAATGCCGCGCAACCATAATGAATTGATCTAATACAGAAAAAAAAAATTTTATAATCTTATATGGAATGCTAATCACAAGAGAATTAAAATATGATCTAATGGAAATGTATATAATAACATTGATAGAAAAAAAAAGCAAAGAACAACATTAAGAGAATAAGAAAAGAAGTTATTGTCAATACAAACCGAAGAAACAAAAAAAGAAAAGACTTAATGTGCTTCATCTTGATTCTCTTCAGCTTCTAAACCACGTGTAACTTTACTAAAATCAAATGGTTCACCCATATAACGACGATAAACATCAAGAATATCAAGACAAGTTGATTCGAAATGTGTTGTTGCATCATATGAACTTGTAATAAAAAGCTAACAAAAAAACAAACAAAGAATTTGATTAGAGTAAAAACAAAACAAAAATAGTTTTTTTCTTTTACTTTGCTTGTTGTTCCATCATCAATTGGTTCATATAAATCATTAACAGTAACAAATTTTTGATAAATTGGTTCAAGTAAAGCAAGACCAGGTTTTATTTCATTTTCAGGATTATCTGTTTCAACTGTTGTACTAACTAATGCAACATACCACTCTTTTGGCGTAACCATATTTGTTTGACCCATACAACAAACATAAATATCTAAAACAAAAAAAAAAAACAAGAATATTAAGAAAAAAAAAACGAAAATTGTTTTTTATCTTTTACCATTATGACGTTGCACTTGTTTTTGTGGTATAATTATTTGAATTGAACCTGGTGATGTATTCGATCCAACATTAACAGGATGTCGTAAAAGACAAATAGCTCGAATAACTCGACCAACTTTTTTAACTTTATCTTGTGCATATGATGGATCACATATAACAGCTTTACAACGAGCTGTTTGATCACCTGATCGAACACCAACAACAACACCATTTTCATAGACAATTTCATCAACTGATTTATCAAGCATATATGTTCCACCATAAATAGCACTTAGACTAAAAAGAAAATATGATTTACTTATGTAAAAATTTTAATTAAAACTTTATCATTGCAAATGGAATATATGCAGATTAGTAAAATCATCGTGGAATTTATATTCGCCTTTACATAATGAAAATAGCAAAAACTATACATTTTTTCTTTCGCATAAAAGAAAAATCTCCGACCTAGGATCGAATCCGAATTCGAAAATTTCGAAGCCGACAAGCTCTAGTTTGAAATGGATATTGTTTTTTATTTGAAAATATATTATTCTATTGATTTTTAGTAGAAAAAACACCATGCGTTTTTTAAGATAGCTTCGATCAGAAATATTCATGACGACAACTTTTCTAGGAAGAAATTTCAAAAATACATGAATTTGTACAGAATCAAACAGTTTTTTTCTGAATACCATCGCAGCAGATTCTCAGTTGCTATGGACATCTATGCTTTCGATATGTTGGTCGAAGGACAAAAAGATACCCACTTCAAACAGTGTCTACTGCCTTTGCTCTTGAAAATTTCGAATTTTTCCGATAATTCATTCTCTAGAATCTTGGAAAGGGACAGAGGAATCGTAAGACTTCCTTCTCGAAAAACAAAGTTAGTATTATCGAAATTAAGACAAATGCATGGAAGGACAACTCGAGGTTTGATCTTTCATAAATAACATGCGTTTTTTTTTTGTTCGGTACTTCCAATGTCATGTTACAGGACTGAAAATGTTATGTGACTTGAATATACCTAGCTCAAGATCGATTTTTGAAGGAAAACCAAGATCTTAATAGAATATAGACTGAATAATATTCGCTAATCGAATATTATTATTTTTTTTGTATTATAACGATTTTCTCCAAAAATAGTTAGTTTTTCTATAGGCGAACGCTTTAGATTTCAATGAAGTTTGCTATTCATTTTATTATTATTCATTATTCAAAAAACATTTCTTTTAATCAAATGAATCTTAATACGCTAGCGTGAGTCCGTGCATACTGCACGGCTCTTTTCTCCTTTAACGTACAACTTCAAAGCTTTATACTTTCACGCAGTAAGAGCCATACAGACACTCCATATTGTGTATATAGATACCCTATGACCTCATACTCTTATATGACACATATTTTTGTACTTCGTTAGCCTTCGACCTTATATCCCCTTGTAGCTCTTGTAGCATTATCCTCTTATTGCCTTACTCCCTTCAGGACCTATGAGTACTCCACATAACCCTCAGAGGACGGCCCTTAAGGACCGATGGGACTTGGGATCCTCTTCGTTATAGTCTTATTTGACCTTTAACCTTTGACCTGGCACCGACATACACACACAGACACTGAACATTATATATATAGATACCGTGCAAAACCTTGTGGTAATTCACCAAGACCATAGAGTGGATAAAGATAAGGTGATTTACCATAGCGTGCTAATGATTCACTGTACAGTTTAATTCTTTTAACTGATTCCAAAACAGGTTTTTCCAAATAACTAAACGAAAAAAGAACAAGTCATTTTTTTTCTTAGTCATTTGAATACAATTGACTTTACTCATCATCACTATGAAGTGCCAAAGCATGACCAGTAAAATCAATCGTATCTTGACTAAGATCATATTTTTTAAATGCATCAATTGTACGTGTATTCGGTGAAATATCTTTATATGTTTTAGGATCATTTTCATCATAATCATTTACCCAAACAATTAAATTACGAAAACGTCGTTTTTCAAAAAGACCCATTAATGCTTAAAGAAAATACAAACAAAAAACAATCCTATTAATATAATAAGATTATTTATTTTTGTCTTTTTTTTCACTTACATGATGAAAGTGCTTCTTTTTCATCTGCTGGTACTTTATAAATTTTTTGACCTTTATATACATAACTACCTTCAATACATTTAAATTCAAGATAACGAGTTACACCCGTATGAATTAATAATTTAACAAGAAGACCTAGAAACAAAAAACTAAAATTCAATAGAACATATAACTTTTTGTTTTTTACCATTAGCCATAAGAAATTTTGGAATTAAATCAACATTCCAATCACGACCACGTCCTGTATCTGCTGGTGGTGGTGGTAAATTAAATTTTGTATAAAGCTACAAAGTTATTCATAATATTAAAAACAAATATATACAATGTATTTACATCTTCTAATGGTGTCATGGATGCTGATTCACCACCATAATATTTATTTCGATCCATATGTAAAATTTTTTTTCCAGCTACACCAAGTAAACCGGCTAATACACATTCCTAGATAAAGAAATTTTCGAATAAAATAAATTAATTATTTTTTTTTTTTGTTTATATTTTCTATACCTTTAAACCTGTACCTAACAATATAACATCATATTCTTCATCCATGATTTTTTGACGAAAAGAAAAAAACAAGATGATTAAATCAACTAGTTGATCTACAAAAATGTAATAATATTTAAAAAAACTGACACGCGTACAAATATGAAGATATGATGACAATGACTATCAGATGTTTGTTCTAGAGAATAAAGATGTCGAAACAAGTAGCGACAAAACTGCATTATTTTAGCACATCTTCTCTCTATCTTGCTTGCTATGTCAATCATAATGGATGTTTTATAATTGAATTTTGATTGGTAAAATATGTAAAATCTAACGACATCTTCAAATATCTATTTAAAATAATGATTATTTCTGTGATAATAATAATAACAATCAAATTGATTTTTTTCCCTTGAAAACAAAAATTTTTATTTTTTTATATTGTCGCTACTATCAATGATAAGAACAATAACCTTTCTTTGCGGTTTAAACTTTGATTATTTTCATATTTGAATTTTTCTTTTTTTCTCTTTAAAAACGAAAATCATGTCAAAACGAAAGGTAAATGAAATATTTATTAAAAATATTTATTTTATTATTTTAAATAAAGAAAAATGATCCAAATCCTGAAGATGAAGATGATAATGATTCACAAGATAAACATCGTCAAGTAGAACCACAGGTTATTATAAAATAAAATTCTACTTTTTTTTAAAATTTTTCATCTTTTGATTATCTAGAAAGTTTATGATTTTCAAAAAAAAACAATTGAAGTCTATCCTGAACGTTTACGAGAATTAAATCGACAATTTCTTTCATCTATATCAACACAAATAACAAATGAACCTTATAGTGTACTTGTTGGTAATTGTCTTGATTATGTTCGTCAATATTTTAATTATGAAGATGATTTACTTCAATATTCACCATGGCTTGTAACAAGACTTAAACAATCTCGTTCAGGTTAAATATAATATTTAAAATAACAAAAAAAAAAAAAAAACGAAATTTTTCATTTTTAGATATACTTAAATGTTTACCAGAGACAATTGATATTTATGAAGCACTTGCACGAAATGATTTTGATCGTATATTTGATAAAAATAATATTGAAACATCATCAGATGATTCAATTACAAATAAAACTAGTAATTCTATTCAATTTCGTCCTCCTCCTCCAACAACAACAACAACAACAAGTTCATCATTACCATTATTTAATTTTATAAAACCAACAACAACAACAACTAGTGAATCAACACCATCAACTGGTTTTAATTTTAAAACAGCTACAACACCAGAAAAAATAATAAATCCTTCACCATTTACTTTTACTTTACCAAATACAGGATTTGGAACAGTAAAATTGTTGTTTTTTTTTTGTTCTTTCTTTTAATTATGAGTTTTTTCTAGTCAACATTCACTTCAACTAATTTTCCTAATCAAACAAGTACAGAAAAATCAACAAGTAGTACAGCATCTTCAATAAGTTTTACTCCAATACCGAAATTTTCATTTGTACCAACACCAGCATCAACTAGTGAAGAACAAAAAGGAACAACAGAAGATAATGAAGATGGTAAAATAACAAAAAAAAACTCAGAATTTATTTCTTTTTTCGTTTTTTTCCTAGAACCAAATGAACCACCAGAACCAGAAAAAGTTGAACATGAAGCAGATGCAAAATTGACATACAGGCAAATATTTCAATTTAGTAGAATTAAACGAAAAAAAATTCTCAGTAAAGTGATGTAAAGGAAAATTTATAAATTAAGATCAGACATTGAAATCAAGTCAGTTTTTGATGACCTGTACGACATTGAAAAATCGCAAATATATGTTCCGTCCAATTTCTATTCCAGTGTAGAGTTCAACTCGACTGAATTTCTACTCTATTAGAATGCGGCTCGATTGGACTTCTACTGTATCGGGCCAGATGAAACTCCACAATCGCTGCAGTCATTTAAAAAGTTTATTATCCGAGTGATTACAAGTTGAATAAAATCGAACAATTTTAAAACAGTATGAAAGATAAGTCGAATTACTTATTGAATCTAACGAGCAAGAAGCATTCGTGAATACCTGTAATTTCTTAGAGGCTATTGTTTATTTTAAAAAAAACTGCGTTGTCACTTGTTTTAAAAATACTTTTTTATTAACTAGTATGACAGATGCCGTTAGCTATCTTCATCTGTTACGTGCTGTAAAACAGTCCAATGAAATATATTCAAAAATATGCAATTATAATATGATTTTCTCTGGAAGTGAATGAAAAAAAACAAACATACATTTCTAAAACTTATTTAGCGTGTATCTCAAAACATGAAGAGCTAACTTTTCATCGAATGAATTTATGATACTTGATTTCTGGACTGAGAAAATGTCAAAGGAGTCATCTTTTTGAATACTATGTCCACTAAAATCGTCATAAAAAGGAAATTTTCAAAATTTTGTTCTATGAAAAGTTGCGCATAGAGACTACTTTTAATTTGAAACTAGTCCGAGCTCTGTACCTCTTATAACAATGAAATGATTTCGATTCTCCTGAAACCTATAAAGTTCGATCTAGAGTAGAGGTATATTAGGCTGAAATTTTTACCATAAATTAGAATCATTCTCAGGGGTGAACTTTTAATGCAGTTGATACTGCATTCGGCCTTGTGTGTGTGTGTGTGATTGAGAAATGAAATAAACTGTCGCGAGTTACAAAATCTATGTAAGAAATTGTGATGAAAAATTAATAGACATAGTCAAAAAATATTTTTCAAACTTCTTCATATGTGTTTGTACGAGAGAAAGGATCGTCAATTTTTTTCTGATATCGTGTCAAAAGAAAATTATTTAACAGTATTAATGATTCTTCAAGATTTTTTAATTCTGTTTAAAAAAAAAAAAAACTAACTTTATTTTTTCTATCTTAGATGTCGAATGGGAGTAAATAAAAGTGGTAAATTAATAAAACGTGGTCCTGTACAAGTTATACTCAAAGAAGCTAATGAAAAACGTCAATTAATTGTTCGATCGGATGATTCACTTGGTAAAAAAAAGAAAAATAAATATGAGTTTTATATATTTAATAATTTTATTCTAGGTCGTTTATATTTAAATATTTTATGGTCAACATTAATTGAATTAAAAAAAAATTCAACAAAAGATCTTACATTTGTCTGTAAACTTAATCCGGGTATGGCGGAAATAAAAGAAGGTGAATTTGTTATGATATTATTTCGATTTGATAATGAAACAGAACGTAATGATGCATATGAAAAACTTAACAAAGAACGAACATAAACTTTTTTATTCAAATTAATATAAACATTTATTTATACAGAAAAGAATTATTTCATCTTTTCTATATACGATTTCTCTAGGTTAATTTCTTTTTGTTTTCTTTTTTGTTAACAACGTTCAGATCATAGTTTCTTTTTTTTTTTTTTGTTTGATTGTGTATTACGTGTAGAAAGACAAAAATTCTTCATTGTTCCTTCTCTCTCTCTTTCTGTTTTTTTTTTTTTTATGTTAGAGATGTTTGAAAATATTGATTCATCGGATGATAATGATGAAGATAGTTTATTTAAACAAGTTTTACCTACAGCAAATGATAACAATGAACCGATTGATTTGAACAAAATACCAACAACTGGAGAAGAATATTTGAGACAGGTTCGGTACGAGATGAATGATTTTTCTTGTTCGATTTAAAATGAATTGCATGATAGTTATTTTATATAGTAAGTTTATTATTTATAATGCAAAGCAATTTCATTATAGTTGACATTTCAATTTTCGTACTGATTGAGCGTTATGATAGATCAATTATCAGAAAATTATAAACAAGAATATTTTAAATTTAATGTTTTTTGAAGTAGAAATTTAACAGCAAATATGAAGTCATTTTTTTGCGATCGTGTTTGTGTCAAACTCTATTTTTCGCAAAAAAAGAATGTACATCAAGATCACCAAGGGATCACACGAATCTCAGTCAGTTTCCAAATACTGTTATAAGTATATAATATTGCATGAATAGATTATCCAGAAGTGCATGTGAATGCTTGTTGACTATCGAGATTCATCCCGGACTTCAGTAAGAGTCATTGTAATGTTGTATTATCCGATTCAAATAGTTTTTTGATAGGAATGAGATAGAGAGCTGCGGTTTTCACCATTCGAAAGAACGATATTCGGATCATTGATGTTGTATAGAACTTATTGAGACGAAAGTTGCTTTTTTTTTATAGATACCTTTAGATCAATACTTTTTCCTTTGAGTATTTTCACAACGATCTCAACTCAAATTATATCAAAACGTAGCTAAAATCACCCCTTTTTTTTCGTTATAATATTAACATTTGGTTTTTTTAATCCGTTTAGAATAAGAGGTTGAGAGATAATGAAATATGTGATAATTTTATAGCGAAAAAAGGATGATTTGAGCTGCATTTTGATATGATTTGAGTTGAGATTGTTGTGAAAATACTCAAAGAAAAAAGTATTGATCTAAAAGTATCTATAAAAAAGCATCGTTCGTCTCAATAAGTTCTACACCCATCGATGGCCTGAATATTGCTCTTTTGAATGATGAAAACAGCAGCTCTCTATCTCGTTCCTATCGAAAGCTATTCGAAAAATGATAACCTGTCTTTTATTTTGGATCGGATAATACATCATGTCTTTTTATAAATGCGTTGTGGATACTTATAAGAAAATGCTTAATTACTTTTTTTTGCAGTATTTTTTAGCAGAATGCAACAATCCTCCTTAGAAACACTGCATTTCGATTTGAAACATTGCATAGAGACATGCCTTAATGAGAATAGTTTACTTTGAAGATATCAGATTTTTTCGATAGTCTCTATTCTGAAATAAGACTATCGGAATTAGCCATTGGATATGAGCAGCATGAAAAAGCATGCTTTTACTATAGACGTATATTAAGATCGAAGCAATCAAAAGAAACGGAATTTTTACAATAAATTATTTCCATTAAGGTCTATTTCTGAGTGAAGTTCCGAGTCGAAATTCGAAACTCAGTTTTCCTGAGGAGATCCTGACATTGTGCTAAACAATAATGTAAAGAAGCGAGTTGACACTTATGAGGGAACATTTCCAGGTGTCTCTCTCTGATTTCATTCATTTATATATCATTCAATAGAAGACTTCGAGTAGGTAAAAAGTCTAAAAGAATTGCGGCCGACGTCTTTTTCTTCGAGTTTTCTGATTTTCTCAGCGAAAACTAGCATAAAAAGAAAAATTCATAACTCTATCAAGGAAACTCATAGAGAGCCGAAATTTGTTTTGATGGTAATCTTAAGGATCCTTTATATACTCTGAAAGTTTCACAACTCTCTTTTCTCGAGTTATAGGATATTTCTATAAGTAAGGATGTGGGTGTGTGTGTAGGCGTCAGTGCTTCCTTTATCCACACCCTCACCCTTACTTATAGAAATATCCTATAGCTCGAGAAAAGAGAGTTATGAAGCTTTCAGAGTATATAGAAGATCCTTAAGATTAGCATAAAAACAAATTTCGACTCTCTATAATTTTCCTCGATTGAGTTATAAATTTTTCTTTTTATGCTAGTTTTCGCTGGGAAAATCAGAAAATTCCCGAAGAAAAAATCGTTGGTCGGAACCCTTTTAGGATGTTTACTTACTCGAAGTCCTCTATCGAACAAAATCGGAATAACAACTTGATGTATCATATTTTATCAATTGGGGCCTGTGTGACTGCAGGTGGACAACAAAAAGTAGTCCGTGAGATGACAGACTGGTTCAATTACGATTGAAAATTGCCCTGATAACAAATCAATCTAACTCAAAACTTAACGAATTTCAACGTAACGAGGATAATATTTACACTCGTCTTAAACGTAAATTTCTACAAATATATTTACGAAAAACTATTCCCAATTAAATATTCTTCCATCATATGATCAGGGTGTAGGTTGTGATGATTGAAAATAATTCGAATATCATGCAATTCATTTTCATCATTATCATATAATTAATCATATGTTTTAATTTAGTTTTCAAGCCTCTCAGTTGCCTAATTTTCAAACAACTACTAAAACAGATCAAAATCAAACAACATCATCAAATTCTAAGAAACATGCTTGGCATAAATTATTTTCCGTATGATTTCTTTTCTTTTTTTTCTTAATAGGGAAAAAAAGAAGATTATTTGATATTTAGTCGACTAATACTATTCCAAATATAACAACAAAACATATTGTTTCAAATGATTGGCAAAATGAACAATGTCTAACATTTTCAAATGTTCGTAATGATTTTTTTCAAATGCGTGATCGATTACGAATAATAGATAAAAAATATCGAATTGCAAAATTAAAAAATGTTAATGATTATTGGAAATTTTGTTTTGGTAATAATATTCCATTTCAATCTTCATTATCATCTTTAGAAATTGATGATCAATCAAAAATACAAAATCCACTTCCAACAATGACAACAATGATTACTTTAACTCAAGTAGAAATTTTTCTTTTTTTTTTTGGAAAATTATTTTCAAATTAAATTTCTGTTTTTTGTTTTAAGCCTCAACTTCATGAATTATTACAACATGAAATCAATTGGCTTAAACAATGTGGATATTCACTTCATTTAGTATAATCTTTGTTTTTTTTTTATTCTCTAATCGATTGATATTTTTTATATCTTTTATTAAAGGCTTTGTATATGTTTGCTACATTAGTAGCTATTGAAAAACCTATCAGTGAAGATGTGATGTATACAATACGACAAACATGTTCAGCATGGAAACAAATACGAACGAACTTATTAGTAAGTAACACGGGTAGAGCCCACCGAATCGATTCCAGATCCATACTCGATCGGGTCCAGATTTGAAAGTTTCGGATACGATGGGTGCTAGACGTGGTGGAGTGTTGCTAAGGTGTTTGTGGCATTTTCATGGTAATATCTGTTATGATTGGTGGGAGATGCAAGGTTCTAGCCTATATACTTCAACAATAGGAAAACGTTGGATTAGAAAAATTAACTATGAGATATTCATTGATTTGCTTTTCCTCTGGTCCTTTCTGGTTGAGATTTAAGAGAATCCCTTTCTGAAGAACTGCAGAAATATTTGAAACTTTTCGAGTAGATAGATCTCGATGCGTAGAACAAAAGTTATTTTAGACTCCGGATTCCTAAATACTTCCTTCTAGGAAATATCTGAATCGCAAAGGCTAAAAATTGTTCTGCTGTCTCAGCCACAATAAGTCTGATAGCGCTGGAAGGTTTTTTTTTACAGACATACTATGTTGGAGAAGTGGAAAACAAATTTACCTGTATATATCAGAACTACTTTTCTCCAACAAAAGTGATCGAAATCTGGTCGTATTAGAAAATCCATGATCTCAGAACCTTTGCATACAAAGAATTGGCGAGTTTTTCAAGAGTTGAATTTAATAAAAGTACTAACTAATAATGAAGAGTTCTCATTCATATTGCATTTGACAGAGAACAGTTCAAAGGTATAGCAACAGTCGAAAAAAGTTCCGGGCAGGAGTAGACTTTAACACATTCAGTAGGGATTTTTATCTATTTTGATCTTCCGCCGCATATTGCACTTCGGTCTATTCAATTCGAATTGATTTCATCATGTTTATTTTTTCTTTTTTTCTAGAATTCAACTGATAATGATTATCCTATTGATGATACTTTAATAAAATCATGTGATCTGTTTATATGTATAATTGGTCGATATTTTGGTCAATTTGATTTAGCTGATCGAAATGATTAAAATAGACTTTAAAAAATAAAATAAAATGATGAACTTTCTATTATATATATATAACTATTTTTTTTTGTTTCTTGTATAATGTGTTTTTTAGATGCAACCTTTAAAATATTTTTTTCATTCGACAACAATGTGTCGAATGTCAACATACATGTTATCTACTCATCGTCGATATTTAGCTACGGATAAAAATGATAATAAAACAACAGAATCTAAAACTGAAATAGGCCCATCGGCACCTGAAATTGAAATAAATAATCTTACTGGTGATCATCAACGTAAATAGAAACATATCATACGTTTTGTTTTTGTTTTATAATTTTAATTAGTTCTTGAAAAATAGATGTTGTTGAAATTGCTTTTAATCGACCTGCAAGACGTAATGCTCTTGGTAAACAATTACTTATTCAAGTAGATAATTATAGAAATAAAGAATTATTTTTAAGCATATTTTTTATTGATTTAGTTGGATGCAACAATAGATAGTTTAAACGCTGATAATACAATTCGATGTATTCTTTTTCGTAGTTTGGTTCCAAATGTATTTTGTGCTGGTAAATTTTATTTATAAAGAGAAGAATTCAAAATTTTGTTTTTTTTTTGTAATTAGGTGCTGATCTAAAAGAACGATTAGAAATGCCTCAAGAAGAAGTAGGACCATTTGTATCAAAAATTAAAGAAATATTCTCTAAAATATTTGGTTTACCTGTACCAACAATCGCAGCACTTGATGGTGAGTTATTAAATAAAATTTTTATGTTTCAATTATTTAAGTTCAAATTTTATAATATTTGATATTGTCTCGTTCGTAGAAATATTTATTATTGTCAATTATCATTTATTACAAATAATTAGATATTCCGAATTGGATTTAAAAAAAAACATAAAATATAGAAATAATATTCTCGCGATTAAAATCGAAGAAAAAGAAACATAGAGTTCCAAATATTTGTACGCAGTAGAACTCGGGCCACTCTTTTATGGCCCGGGCCGGGTCTGGAAGAAACTCTGTTTGTAGAGATTTTGTTTTCTCAATAGACAGCTATTCCATAGTTTTCGGTTTTTATAAAAAGTGATGACCAAACGAGGGTAGCGTGGAGAAGCTTTCCCTATCTTCTCTCAGGGTGAACCAAATCTGAGAAAAAGGATAAAATCGTCGGGCTGGGGGGCTCCTTTCAAGGCTTGACGCATGCATCGTTGGATAGAGGAAGTGCTTCTCTACAAGTCTACATATATCCCGTTCTGTAGTAAAAACCTTATAGTCGCCTTCGCATACTAATACGAATTTCAGTGTAATCGGTGCTCCAACGAATCCTATTTCAATATCTCAATGTTCTGTATAGACATGCACCGTAGATATGGAACCGATAGTGGTACGGATTTTAGATCGGTTCTGTCACTAATGCACTGAACTTAGATTCAGACTCGGGCGTTCGGAACTCATCCAATTAGTTGAGATAGTATCGGACATTTGGATGGATTACCCAAGTGTTTCTTGAGGTATATGGACAATCATGGAGGCACTCTAACACTTAGCTAAGTGCGTGTTCGAGCATATCTGAACATTACTGACTTTTTTTAGAATGCCTATAGACTTTCGATTTTTAGATCATTTATTTCACTGTGTGAAGATCTACCATAACCAAGCCTGAAATTCCTTCTTTTAGTTTATTTCTACTTTCTTTTATTAATTAATTGAAAAATGATTGTAGTGAACATCGAATCCGAACGTTCGGATTCGGTGCATACATAGATTCCTAATCATATTTTCTTATTTTAATAATATTTATTTTTCTTCATATAAGGTTTGGCACTTGGTGGTGGACTGGAATTAGCTTTAGCATGTGATATTCGTATAGCCGGTAAATATTTATATATTTAATATAGAATCAATCTATTTTTATTTTTATAGCACAAACAGCAAAACTTGGTTTAACAGAAACAAAACTTGGTATTATTCCTGGTGCTGGTGGTACTCAACGTTTACCTCGAATAATTGGTCCACCAAAAGCTAAAGAACTTATTTATACTGGTTTGATTTTACTAATTAAATTTTTGTTTTTTCTAAAATAAATAATTTCTAGGACGAATTTTAAATGGTCAACAAGCATATGAAATTCGTTTAGTTAATGAAGTTGTTAAACAAAATGAACAATTAAATGCAGCATATCAACGTTCACTTGAAATAGCACAAGAAATTGTTCAACAGGTTTGTTTTTTGTTTTTTTGAAATTATAATTAATTATTTGTTTTTTGATTATCCTAGGGACCATTAGCTGTTCGTATGGCAAAACAAGCTATAAATAAAGGTCTTGAAGTTGATCTTCAAACAGGTCTTGAAGTTGAAGAAGGTTGTTATGATACTGTATTAACATCTGAAGATCGTATTGAAGGTTTAAAAGCTTTTCAAGAAAAACGAAAACCTATTTATAAAGGGGTTTAAAATAGACTTGTTCTTTTTCTTTTCTTATTTTGATTATTTATGTATTGTATTTTTTTTCTTCTTTCATGAAACCCAATAAAACAAAAACAAAAAAAAAATTCATACATAATATTTTATAATATCTCAATCTTTCATGTAGATATGGTTGGTTATGATCCAGAGAAAAAAAATTTAACAAGTAGTCAAATTTTAATTGCTAGTACGACAGCAAGTTTTACTTCACGTTTTCTTTTACAACCAATTGATGTTATTAAAATTCGCTTTCAAGTAGGATAGAATAAAAGAAACAAAAATTCTAATCTTATTATTGTTATATATATATATATATAAATATAGCTGCAAATTGAACCTATTCGAAATTTAACAAATTCAAAATATCGTACTCTATTTCAAAGTATTCGTTTAATTCATTATGAAGAAGGTTTACGAGCTTTTTGGAAAGGTCATATTGCAGCACAAGTTCTTTCAATGACATTCAATTCTGCTCAAGTAAGTTTTCAATAATTAGAAAATCGTTTTTTTTTTGTTTTTGATTTTATTAATTATCTTAGATGTATGCATTTGAAAAAGTTACTAAACAATTAGGAGAAATTTTTCCTATTACAACATCTTCACCAACAGCTAAAACAATAACACATTTTGTTATAGGATCACTTGCTGCTAGTATAGCTGTAATTAGTTGTCAACCAACAGATGTTTTACGAACAAGATTTGTTGGACAAGGTGAACCAAAGGTTTGTCAAGACTTATATTTTTTTTTTACTCTTCATTTCTAGTTTAATCAGCCCATTTGTTCAAAATATGACAATGATATTCAATTTTTTCTCAATAAAATGACTTTTGTACCACTGTATATACCGAATGTCTCAACATAGTTTATTTTACATATAGAATAAAATCTCTCTATATGAACATGCACATTTAATACTTATTTCTAGTTCTATGAGCAATAACAACCTCTTTAATGTAAGTAACATATGTTCTGCCATCCGCCACATGCAGAACGACAAAAAAAAACGAAATTATATACAATTCATGGGACGCATAAAACAAGAGAATGAACTAACCGTACATATTTAAAAGAAAAAAAACCTAGTATTATATAACAGCAATAGTGTAACATCTTGTCGTATTAGTGTTAACAGTTAGTAACATCCCATTATGTCAATACAAGATGGTTTATATCAGATTAAAAATGTTTTCGAATAAAAAAGAAAACTGAAAAATCTACTTTTGGTTATTTACATTAGAAAGATTTTATTATATCTTCGTACAAACGAAATATATAATATTGAATTGTTCTTTAAATTTCAATTTACGTTAATTTAAAACAGTAGATCTAAACATTTTTATAGGTCACAGAGTATAATTTGTATGAGATGCATTTGCTTTACATTCATTTCTACCATGCTGTCGCCAGGATGTAACAGATATTTAGAAGGTTACGCTTTTATTTTCGATTGAATATCAGATACACTTTCAGGAATATTCCATGGTCATCACATATCCTTAATGCCACCTACTGATGAATTTTCTTTGATTTAAAGCGAATAAAAACCGGCGATAATTTGATATCTAAACAGTTGACTATCCTCTGAAAAAAGCATCTATACTACTTTTTAATACTATGTGATAATTATATTTTTGTCAATATTTTCATTTAGATCTATCACTCATATATTCAAGCAATAAGTCTTATTTGGACTCGAGAAGGTTACCATGGATTTTATCGTGGTTTAATTCCAGCTATTATTCTTTATGCACCTGTTTCAGCACTTACATTTGGATTTTATGAATTATTTAATCGAGCATGGGATCATTTACCAATTAGAAAATTTGGTAATTTAATTTTTTCATGTTTTACCTTTTAGTAACTAATATATATATGAATAGATTCTATAAAACATGGATTTAATGGTGGTATAGCTGGTGTCTTAGCTAAATTTGTTGTTTATCCATTTGATTTAGCAAAAAAACGACTTGAAGTTGTAAAATTTGAAGAAGCTCGATCTAAATTTGGACAAGTATATTTTTTTTCTTCTTATGCATAAACGAATCTAATTAATAAGAAGAAGAAAAAAAATGAAATTTAATTTTAGACACGTGCATATTCTGGTCTGATAAATTGTTTATCTGAAACAATTCGACATGAAGGTTTTACTGGATTATATAAAGGTATGACACCAAGTCTTATTAAAGCTTATTTATCAACAGCTATTACTTTGGGTATTTATGATTCGATTTGTAATCGTTTTCGCCAAATATCGTCTGATTAATTTTATCTTATTGTGTGTTGATGGATTTTATATTTCCAAGTCTTTTTTGTTTGTTTTTGTGTTGCAGTGTTAAATAAAATAAAATAAAATACAAAATGAAAATTATTATAGTAGTAGATGTCAAATTTTTTAGAAGTAAAACAATGGAAGTCAAGTTTTAACTGAAGTGTTCAATTTCATGGATGTAAAATTATAGCATGAGTACCAATGAATGATTACTAGTTCCATTTTTTTTTTCTTTCTCTCGCTCTCATTTTGAATAGTAGTTTGTATATACGGCACTTTGCGACATTGGATCATAAGAGAAGAAGAAGAGATGCTCTCTTTCTTTTCTTAAAGTATTACGTAAGACAAAAGGAAGTATTTGTTAAATGGAAGGTGTCACAGCCGAGAAACAAACTCAGTAAGCTATAGGTCATATTTGTTGACAAGGTCAATATTATTAGAAGTCGGTTTCGTTGTGTATTAATTTTGTAAGTTCTATTTTTTTTTTTTTTTTTCTGTTATAAAATATATTTCGAATCTCAGATTGTTGAACTAAATATCAGATAATGGAATGTCTCACTTAAAAAAAAAAACAAATAAAATAAAAAGTGATAGATTTATTTAATTGAAATAAAAAATGGATACGGTCATAATGAAAAAGATGATTTTCTACTTAATAAATTAAGATTGTGAACTACAAAAATGAATAGAATGAATTTTTTATTTTAAAAACTTTATGTTTGTCTTCATTTAAATATCATTGAACAAGGTAAAGTCATGATTTCTTGATAAAGAAATTCTAAAAAAAAAAAAAATTGTTTCATAATGATAATTCTGATTTTCGATTTTCTTATTAATAAAATACGTATAGACATTTATAGTTCTCCTTCATTACTAATTATTTTTATTCTCTTTATATAGTAAACATATCCTTCTATGAGTCTTAGAGTTAATATATATTGCTTTAAAAGAAAAAAAGGAACGGCCTTGACATGTTAAAGTAAATTTCTTTAATGATCGTGATCTTTCTTTTTTTTTTTTGTTCCAGGCAGATAACTCGTTAAATTAAGATGTATATACTTATATGAATAGTACTGAAAATGAGTTTATTAGATTGAAATTAAATGACGTCTTAGTTGAATATTGAATATGAAGTAATAATAATCTTAATACACTGTGTCACTTGTTATGACTAATCATGTTGAAATTAGGGTGAAAAAAAAAAAGAATTTGTCATCACACAATAGAAAAGAGTTGTTGATAGAATGTACATGATTAATTCTCTACATATTCTGAAGAGAGTTTATCATGTTTATTTAGATAGGACTTGGAAAATACGAATTTGAAATGTTTTGAAAAACAATCTATTGAAGAAGAACGACGAAGCCAAAATTTGTTTTCATACTGTGAATTGTAATAGATCGAGTCTTTTTTTTTTCTTGCTTAACAAAAAATTAATTTATTTACATATTCGATGGACTCTAATTTTCATTTTTCATATCAATCCATCTTCAGAAGAAAAAAAAAATTCCTAAAACAAGAATAATTATTATTTTTCTATTTTATATAGGCTTTAAAATAATAATCAATGTCAACAAAAAATTCTACAAATAAAACTCCATGGCGTTATCGTCGTTTTTGGCGTTTATTTCGACGTGAAAAACCATCATTAATTGATATAACATATTCATATCAATATATGATGCGTTTTCGTATGTTATGTCATTGATTTTAATTCTTAACATTGTTTTAATTGTTTAGCACGATTACCTATTACAGTCCCACCACTTGTTCCGACATTAATGTCGTATCGTTGGTATGTGTCTCTTTATTTTATATATATATATATATCTTTACTCGTGGAATGTTTGTATTCGGGCGCATTTCGTACTAAACTATCATAGTTATTGTTGACGTAAAGCTTGTATATAGAACAAATGACATTGTATTCGAAAAGATAAAATAAGAAAGAGAGTGAGATTATAGATCGAAGAAAAAAAAAAAAGGATGGATTAAGTTCATGCGCGTGCAATCGTACAAATGTACGAGCAATCGTTTAGGCACGTTCAAAAAATGCAAACAATCAGTCGACTGCCGAGTAATTGACACGCATCTGTTTAACGCCTTTTTTTGTGTTGTAAACATCTTTTCTTCTTTTTTTTTTTTTTTTTTATTCTCTTCTCCCATTGTCTTTTGTGTGAATACACGATCACTATTGATAGTAGTGTCAAGGCAAAAATAGAGGACGAGAGACAGACGCGTTGCCATTATTCTATATGTGTGTGTGTCTCGTATTTGAACATGCTCATTCTGCTTTATTCAACATCATTTGTTATAATTCTCGAATTTCAAATTGAATATCATCAATCAACTAACGACAATAAATATTCATTTTTTATATTTAATATGTGGTTTATTTCACGTTGTATAAGCATTGATTCATTAAATAGTTGTTTTCAACAACAAAAAAATAAAACAAGTTATGATTTTTGTTTATGTCGTGGAGGATCTGGTATTTTAGCTAAAAGGTGAGATTCGTTTTTTGTTTTGTTTTCATAGAAACAAAATTATTTTTAAGAATTAGAACAGTTTTTATTATGTTATATTGTTTGTAAGAAGAATTTTTTCTATATTGAAATAGATTCAAACTTTTTAAAGAATAAATTTATTCGTTAGAATATTATTAATCTCTACTTGAGTGTAATAATAGATTAAATATATATAGATCAATGATCTTTTGTTTCCTGTTCATTTTAATTCCAATACACATCTTTTGTATAGAATCTATTTATTCGATACAAAAGCTACTTTGATATACAGTGTTAAATTCAGAGCGATTTCCGGCGAGAGGAGATTGATGTTTCCTCTTCTTTGAGTAAAGTTTGAAATGACTTACAAAATTGTATTTGTATATTTTAAAGAAAAAGATCCTTGATACATTCCGATTTAGTCCTGTTGCTACAAAAAAAAATCATCAGCCATAAAACGGCTTGTTCACGTAACGCGACATTTCGCTGATGAAGTTGTTGAAAAAATTTTTTTTTTCGAGATGGACACATCTGAATATATTATTAGATGCAATTTTTTACACTGGTTACGAATTTGACATTTTTTCTTTTAAATTCTTGTATATTTTTCAACTTACTGTACAGTTGATGATCGTTCCTTTCAATGTAACAATATGATTCTTGCGTAGAACGAACAAATTGTGTCACAGCGTTACGCGATAAATAAACTCTTTCTGGAAGCTCAAGACTTCAACTAAAAAACGTTATTTATAGAGTACGATAAGCTGCGTTGAATGGCATTTGAACGAACTTTCTAGCTCTTACAGTTTCTGAAATAGTTAAAAAGAGTTTGTCAAAAAACATCACAACGTTTCATTTAGACAAGTCGAAAAAATGAATTTTAGCTGTGTGTGAAGGTGGAAACTGCAGGTTATTTTTTGGTTCCTACGCCTCTAGTTGAGATCTATCTACCCTGAAAATTTTATAATTTCTGGTTAATCCATTCTTAAGAAACCCGGAAAAGGGAGAGAAGAGGGTACCCGTAAGTTTTTTACTAACTCTCGTAATTGGTCGCCAAATGAAGAAACATATTATTGAAAAACTTTCGCATCATTCTTTATTGCATTTTTTTTTAGATTGATATAGATGAACATTGAATATTCTTTATTCTTGCCTATTACAAAAGTTCATTGTTTTGCTGGGATCCCGAAATATGCACACGACAATTCTGAGGGCGTCAGTTGAGGACGATGAGTTTGAAACGGTTTGTTCTATTTCTGAACTCTCATTTACCGTTTCGTACGTATATCCTTCATAGACTTGACAGAATAAAACAATCTCCTTGTGATTAGCAATAGCAACTATATCGTGTTTCACATTTTAATCTTGCAGGAATTTATTAAATGAATGCTATAGCTTTCTCAGGAAAATTTTACATAAGAATAAATCTCAATAAAAATATTTTATTGTAAAATTTTCAAACTTATTAATATCTTTTAAGGAATGATGAAGATGATTGTGAATCAATACCAAAAAAACATTCACATGATAATCATTATCAACAACATACACGTCGACGTTTACCAAAACGTTATAGTGATATAGTTGGTCCATCATCAAATAGAGTTTATCTTCCAAGAAAAGATTCAATTAAACGAGATAAACAAATAACAATTCATTCTTTATCACAATATAATCATCAATATACATCATTTAAAACAAAATCAAATGAAAATTTATATATAATTAATTCTCATAATAAAAAATCTCGTGATTTACTTTCATCATTTTCAAAAATAGAAACAAAAGATAATTCAATTATTAGACATCGTTATAATAGTAAAAATAAACGTTTATCAACAATAAATGCTGTTGATCAACTTGCTCATCGTATGCAAGCAGCTATGAGTACAGAATTAATGCATTCACTTGATAGAAATTTTGTTTTTGGTGATAAAAAACCATTATCATTATCAAATTGTTCACATATAAATCGTTCACAATCATTTCATACATCAACATCACCAACAAATAAATGGTGGAATAAATCTTCTGATAAAGAACATTATTATTATGTTATACCACGAGTAAAACATCGTTTAGATGATGAACAAAAATCTATTGGAACAATATCTTCATTAGATGAATTAACACCTGATTATGATGATGATGATGATGATAATAATCATAATCATAATCATAATAATATTATTATTCGACGAATTAATAATAATAATAATGATAATACTGATGAAATTGATGAAGAACCAATCATAGATTATAACGATTCAAAATTAACATTTAATTCTGATATTGAAGATAAACTAATAACACCACCAACACTTTATGATCTTGGAGTTACATCATCATTTATTGTTCAACAAACATCTATAACACCAAGTAGTGAAACTTTTACACAAGAACAATCATCTATACCACCAACACCACCACCATTACCAAATACAACAATACAACAAAAAAAATTAACATTTCGTTGTCGTACTATTGCTGATAAAATAACAGCTGATCATAAACTTATTTTAAAAGATGATGTAGATACAATAACAGAAGTTCCAGAAGAAATACCGATAGGTAATTTAAGAAAAATATTTGTTGTTCTTCTCAATAATAATCTATATATATAATGTCTAGTGTCTGTGCCAGGTTAAAGGTCAAACCATAGGACCTCAAGTGGTATCCTATGAGGATATCGTAGGTCCTCAACAGTCATTATATTGGAGAACCTATAGGTCCTCAAGGGACGTCCTATGGGAGTATTCCATAGTCTTTCAAGAGCTATTATATGGAGTATCCATAGGCTCTGAAGGGAGTAAGGCAATAAGAGGATAATGCTACAAGGAAATATAAGGCTATAAGGCCGAAAGTTAATGAAGAGTATGAGATCGTAGGCTATCTATATATACAATGTGAAGTGTCTATATGGCTCTTACTGCGTGAAAGTGTAAAGCTTTGAAGTCATATGTTAAAGGAGAAAACAGTTGTATGGTATGCACGTGCTCACGCTAGTGATAATATTATTTCGCCAGATGATAGTGCGCAAGTCTTATGAGGAAACATGTCCAATTGTTGAGCATCGTTTGACTTCATATTTTGGCTATGAGTAGGACTTAGTAAAAGTAAGAAAACTTTTAAAAAGTTTCGGATTCATTCACTATCTAATCAGTTTGGTGATTGATTTAGTAGATTTTTGATCTTAGGAACATTTTTTCATGGAATACTCAATTAGTAAATTTTCATCTAAAGTTTTACCCAGAAGCAGAGCCATTAGAATATCCTAAACATTTCAGCTCAAAGGAATGGTTTTCTTGCCTGATATATCAAGTATTCAATAGACGCTTATATCTCACAAGACAAGCTATAGAATCAAACCTGACCGAACCCGGAACTCAAGTTTATAGTAAACTATCCCATAGTTTTAAGCAAATTATCTTATAAATCAAAAACATAATTCAAGAAAGATGATTCAAAGAAACGTACTAGCCGTTGTCGTCGCCTAAATAAATCAAAAAATTCAGTGAAATACAACAAATATATATATATTTTTTTTTTTCTTTGATTGAATTATTTAGTTCCTCAAGTTGAAGAAGAACATTCAAAAAAATCTTGTCCTATTACAAATATTATATCAAAACCTTGTTATTTACATTTATCAAAAGAATTATTAGAAAAAACAACATTACGTAAAGTTTCTTATCCAATTTCACGTTCTTATTCAACATATGGTTCAATATCACAATTAAATGATCATAATACAGAATCGACAACATTACGTGGAAAAACTTCAATTATTAATGAACAATCATTAGATGGTTTATCATCATCAGCAACAACTTCAATTATTATTGAAAATGAATATGATCATCGAACATCATCAAAAATTTATAATGATTATAAACGACGAGCATCATTAATAACAGTACCAACAGATAATACATTAAGTCATAGTTATAGTCATTCAGCTATAATACATCCAATGCATACACATATTGGTGTACGTTCATCAACATCATCATCATCAAATGATAAATTAAATGATAATAATTTATCAAATAAAAAAATGAATATTCGTGTTATTAATCAACTTAATGAACATTTATCAATACGTTTTCGTCAACAACAACAAGATATATATTTAACAAAAGATAATAATATTATATCAGAAAATATAATTGATCATCAAAGTTATGATCCACCACCTGAACAAATAAAAGATGATATTCAAACAAATGTTTATGATGAACCTAATCATATTGAAATAACAAATACATCAACAATAAAATGTTCTGATATACCAACATCTACAATACCACCACCGCCACCACCGTAAGTTTAAATTTGATAATATATATTTTTTTTTTATACAAGAAGAAATTTCAATTCAATGAACTACATTTAAATCTTCATATATTCTAGTAATTCGAGTGACTTATTCGTAATTCTAGTCGCTATAGAGATACGTTAATTGAATATGTCAAAAACAAAATCAGATTTAATTAAAAATATTAGAAAATGATATTGACAAACATTTTTCTAAACTGTCATATAAAATAAATCATTTATAATAGCTTAGTAATGTTAGTCTATATTCATCAAAATATTCGAAGAATTACTAAATTGAAATCTAATCAACCAAAATATTTTTCTCAGATATTCAAAAATAAACATTCAATATATTATTACAAATTGATTTATTTCAGTTAATTGTAATCGCGTGATTAAATCTAAAGAAGATAAGATGACCTATCTAATTTCCGTAAAAGAGTAACATTCCCTATTATTAAAAATAATACATTTCCTTAGACTAATAATACCATTCATTTATTAGACAAGAAATTATAGACATGCATTCACTTACATTACTCATCATGTCATGTTGATCTTATTTTAATTAGATTACCAGTAGGTGGTTTTCGACCAATTGCATCTCAATTAAATCGTCCATTAAGCTCACAACGAACATCTATTATAACATTACCACGTGAAACAAATGGTTCTGAGTTTGGATGTAGTACTGGTACATCAACAATATCAAGTAAATTATCTGATGCACGAATTCTTCGAGAAGTAAGTTAAATAATTTGATTAATTAAAAGAAAAAAAGAAGCAAACAATAGAATATTCATTCGATGTTTTAATATAGTTACGTACAAATCCATTATTTACAAAAGCTAAACAACATCTTGAAATTGAAACTGATCTAAATGGTCGACAATTAAATGATTCAAAATGTTATTTAAGACTTGATAAATGTTCGAAAGGTATTTCATCAACAATTCAAAATGATAATTCAAATGAATCATTAAACAATAATAATAATAATAATAATAATAATACAAATATGGAAACATTTATAATGCGTCCTAATGAATTAAATGCTATTATGAATAATACAGCAAAACGAACAAAATCATTGAACAGTACAACAAAAGATATAAATCAAATTACTTCAAGAACATTGACGAAATCATTTCTACAAACACAATGTCGACAATCAGAACTTGAACTTATCTTTCAAGTAAGAAAAAATTAACAACAATCTCATCTATTATATAAATAGAATCTTCAAGGCATAGAACTATGTCATTTAATAATAGATAATTCTTTTTTAATGATCTATTTCATGTCTTTATTTCTATTTTATTATCAACAAATAACAGATCTATATCTAAAGAACATGTACTAAATGTAATATTTATTTAGCTTCATGTTTTTCAGATTATAAGATAACTAACTAGAAAAATCTTTTATGTAAATAATTATGTGTAGATTGATAATATATAATGTTACTTACTTTTTTCTTTTTAAATGAAGATTCAAATCTATATATTGACTGATTTGAATTTTTCAACCTTTATATTTTATAGAATTTTCATATTCTCTTTTTTTTTTCTTTAGAAACGCGCACAACGAAACGAACAACAAAATCCGACATGATGAATAATTATTATTATTAATATTTTTGTTTTGTTTGTTTTTTTCTTAATTTCAAATAAAATGCATTTAGATTCAATGAAAATCTTATATGTATATAAATATATATATTATACATGTCTATTATCAAAGACATGTTACTCTTGAAATAGCAACATCATGATAATTACAATAATCAACAAGAATATTAGTTTTAGGTTTATTATTATTATATTGTTTTTGTTGATTTGTATTTTTACGAGAATAATTTGTTAAAAATCGAAGTTTTGGTTGATTTTTATTTTGTATATTTATTAAAACAGTTGTTGCTGATGTTGATGATGATGATACTGTTGGAATAATTAAATTTTTATTAATATTATCTAAATTGTATTTAAGATTTTCAGTTGATATAGCTGATGATGGTCGTTGATAACGATAACGTAATAAATGTAAATTATGATAAGACATAAATATGTTTCTTAAACGTGTTGGAAAACACCGACATAAATATTTAATAAATGCACGACGAAATTCACGTGAAGAATAAGCATAGATTATTGGATTCACACTGAAAAAAAATATATATGTATATAGAAACATGATATTCATATTAAATAGGATATTTACCCTGAATTAATATAACCAAACCAAGTAACCAATTGAAAGAAAAGATCATTTCCAGTTAGAAATTCTTCTATTTTATTTAAATTTTTTTTTCTTCTTTCAAGAAATAGTTTTGCTATAGCAGTTAAAGGATTATAAACAAAAAAAGGTAACCAACATAAAACAAATATTCCCATAACATAAGCAAGTGTTACTGTAGCTTTTTGTTCTTTAGAAAATTTTGTTAAACGTTTACCAAGTGTTCGACGTGCTTTTTCTGATGATATTTGTTTATTTTTTTTTATTGTTAATTGATGATTATCATTTGTTATTGAATAATGTGATACAGAATTATCTGTAAGTGATGATTGTCTATCAATTAAAATACCATGATATTTACCACGATGTATACGTAAACAAACATCGGGTGACATATTTATTGTTGGTGAATTTTCATTATTTATATGTTTTTTAAAATTTCTTGTTTTTTCTGTTGTTATTTTAACACCAGTTTTAAATGCATGTAATTGTTTTATAGCAGCACGATAAATTCTTATATAAACAAAAATCATTACAAATAAAGGTATATAAAAAGATATTAATGATGAAACTAATATATAATAAATATCATCAGGAAAAAGACAACGATCAATTTGATATTGACGAACAACTAAACGCCAATAGGCTATAGCAGGAAATGAAATAAAACCTAATTGAAATAATTAAATTATTATTTAAGAATAAAACAAAATAAAAATAAAAAGAAAGATTTTATTTAAGAATTCACCTGAACATAACCAAACAGCAAAAATAAGATAAGACCAACGTTTAACAAAAAATGCTCGATGATATGAAATTGGATTTGTTATTGCTGAATAACGATCCAATGCAATAACACATAAATCAAGTATTGATGCAGTACTTGCACAAACATCTATTGAATGCCAAATATCACAACAAGTTTTTCCGAATGGCCAATATTCACCATAGATAACCTGAACAATAGCAAATGGCATAACAATTAAACCAACAAATAAATCAGCACATGCTAATGATGCCATATAATAATAAGTAGCTATGAAAAACAGAAAACTTTATTCATGTGTTAGAAGATTATTTCAATATTTTATTTATGAACTTTTAAATAAATATTATAGTTAAACATGATTTATATTAGTATATTTATTATTGATCTTACCTTTATTTAACATTTGACATATATATTCAATAAAAACTTCAATATGTTAACAAACAATTATTATGATTTTATTGAACAACAAAAAAAAGAGAAACATTTACTTAAAATAGTCAAAATACGAAGAGAAAAATTCTGTCTTTGTGATAGTCTCTGATAAGCATCTGTCACGAGCTGGAGAGGCATGAGTCCAAATTTTTACCTGTATACTTCAGAACTTCTCTTAGATCATGTCTCACAAAAATGTTATTATACAACAAGAAGTTTTGAACTAATTTTGATAATTATTTACAAATTCGTGTTAGAAAATATTCATCTCAGATGAATACTATCGAATATTTTTAATTCAATGTTTAATTATATATATATATATATATATACCTGATTTTAAATATCGTTCTTGAATAACAGCATAAATAACAAGTCCATTACCAAAAATGGTAATAATACAAAAAAGACAAAGAAATATAGCTAATATTAAATTAGTAAAATCAATATTTTGCTTTGTTTCGTAGAAAAAAATATTTGTAGAATTTTTAGAATTGTTTATTAAATTCTGAGTTATTAAATTGGTAACAATTGGCATTGGATTTTTCAAACAAATAATAAAGTAGAAAAAAGATCATCATATCCTTTATCAATCTAATTGTTGTTGTTTTGTTAACATTTTTACAAGAGATAAATATCTAAAAACAGAGAGAAAAGTTAGAAAAAAAGATTCTTTGTCACTCCATAATATAAATATATACATAAATAAGACAACATAACTTATCAAATCGAAAATCTTAACAATCGTTTTACACACCCGTATAATAATAATAATAAATTGAATACTGTCACATTATCGATAACATTATATGATAAAAAAATAATACATGAATATTTTCTATATAATGTCAAACATAATGTCTTTCTTGCTCCCTAAAAACAACTACAACAACTAAGCCGAATAATTATCTAGTGTTCTATATAAATCGTTTTATAATATAAGTACCCGACACCCTTCATGTGTTTAACGGTTTACATATATATATATATATATACAAAAGAATACTGTGTGTGATATTGCGGCTACATTTTCTTTTCTGAGTAACATGGTTTCTATTCTAAATGAATGTTGAATATAAGAAAGAATGTGAAATATAGTAATGTTCTATCTACTATGTGTCGATCAAGTCTATGTTAGACTTGTCAACTGACTATTTTAATATGCAAAAAAAAAAAAGAAAAGATAAAAATGATTGAGAACATCTATAGCTTTTTATTCTCGAGCAATGTCATTCATGATTAACTATTTACTCGTACTATTTTTTCTTTTTCTCTGTTATTCGTCTTCTCTTTTTTTTTTTTTTTTTTGGTTCCTATTAACTGTCCATGTTGATGAACTGTTTCATTATCGTTTACAGACACGACTATATAAATGTTCTTTCAAATGAATAAGTATAATTTGTGCGTGTGTACGATAGTAATGAACATCTCGACATATTATACAATTAATATAAGAGATAGTAAATTAAATTGTTACACATTGTCATATTCGATAATATAATAATATGATAACAATGAATAGATTTTCTTTTTTTGGATTCTAAGAAATATTTTTCTTTGAATATTTACAAGAATTCGGTTCTGTTGTGTTTTTGTTGTCACTATATATAAGAATATCATATTTCCATTTGCATAAAGTTAAATCTAAATATTAGAATGAATAAAGTTTGTTGTTGTTGTTGTTGTTGTTTTTCTTTTTAATAATTTATGAGAAGAAAATGAGTCAATAATCATTATCATAGAATTGTTTAGATTTAGTCGAGTTGAAAATTTTTAGTTTGATTAAGCTAAGAAGAATAATAACCTGTCTATCAATATTTCCGGCTAAGTTTTCTTCTCTTTTTTTTTTCTCTTCATGTCATATATGTCGAAAAATGATAACATCAAATGAAGATTAATTCTATGATTTGTTAACTTCCATTACTACCAAAAAGAAAAACAAAAAGTTATAGACTTAAAAACGATCGATTACTGATATAAAGATAATTTTCTACTTTTATCTTCAATTAATCATAAGTCATTTATAGTATAACTTCTTACTTCATTCAAGCAAAAAAGATAAAAAAAAAAGGATTTTTTTTGCTTCAAAGAAAATATATCTGTTACTAATTTATAGGAGTATCAACAAACAAAAATGGATACTTTTTCTAAACGATGAAAATAACATTCTTTAGGTTTTATAATATATATATTTTTGAAAATTACGCAGTTTCTAATAACAAAAGTCTTTGATTTATTAAGAAAGACTATTCTCAATTCTTCCTACCGGATGTTCGATTTCATAATAACTATAATAATAAAAGTCGGCCTTTTGCGTTTGTTTTACTTCAAAAGCTTTGAACGGATCTAGTCTATCAATCCATATATGAATGATTATTATTTTTAATAAAATTGTTATATTCACGTACAGTCTCATATACAAAATAACATCTTAATTTTTACTATGTAGATACATAGAAATGTAAGACCAAAAAAAAAAAAAAATTAATCATATAAAGTAGAACATCTGCTTGTTTCATAGAAAAGAAATTTCTTTTTTTTTTTTTTAATAAATCAACTATCAATGTAAATTACCGTTTTTTACTTACTGTTTTTTATTAATTCATCAAATGAACAAATGCATATTGTTCTGTAAGAATAAAGAAGCTCATATTCAGAATGTTAATAATTAGATTCATATTCACTATATATAAAAGAAAAAGAAAAAGCCTAGACAATATTATTTCAAAATCAAGATGACATTCTTCCACGATTTAATATATTATATCTAATAGAAATAAATGGAAATGACCTGATTTTTTTTTTTGCATGGTATTTTCCGATAGTGTTAAATACTTGCTTCCGGCATTCGATTTATTTTTCATCTCTAGTTACATCTTATTCGACTATGTATGTTTAGGCAAAGAACAGAATATATATTCATTAAAGAAATAAATCTCTTACTTTTTTTTTTTCTCTCAATATCATCATCATTCACATCTGTTTTTCATCTTTTTTATACAATGAAATAGATCGAGAAAAATAAAAATAAAACAGAAAGGAAATGATATATACTATATTGATGGCACTATTATACTTAACCTACATGCATGCATGCATGTGTCTTATTACAAAGAAGAATATTAACTATCACCTTATGTAAATATATTAATAGAGAATATTTATAATATTTTCTTATGTTTCTTTTATATTCTAAAATATTCTAGAGTTAATTTATTATTAAAAGATGACAATAATGATAATGAAAAAATCATTTTATGACTACATACGTGATGTTACATTTAGTTAACCTACAATGACAATACTAGTAATATAACGAGACAAATGGATATATAGTAGTAAATGCATTTTTATTATATTGTGTTACTTAGCACAAGCAAAGATTTTCTTTTTTTCTCTTTGTTTGACTTATTGACTTCAACATCTTTTCTTGCTCGTTCAATATTGACCTTCGGAAAATACTCTTGTAAAGATATTCAGAAAAAGAACTCTTTGTTGTTTCTCTTTTTGTTTGATGTTAGCGAATAAAGAGAGCAAAAATAAAAGAAGAATAAGGGTAAATATCACTAATAATCAATTAATAGTTCGGTTTCAATTATTGCGATAAAATAAACAAACATTAGTTTTTTTTTATGAATTGTTAAACGATAAAAATACGCAGATATTCTATGTTGAATTGTTAAGTAAAAGAACAAAATAAATATAGACTAATATAGAAAAAAAAAAAATTGTTTTTTTTTCTCTTCATAACTTATTATGTCAAGAAACATCAGATATTTTTCAAACAACAAAAGAATTACCAAGAAGATACTAAATGACTAGATTCTTCTGAAAATAATGTCTATTGAATTATAACTACATGAATGGATTTGTTTAACGTTGACGATTGCTTTTATTGTATTATAGCAAAAAAACAAAAAAGACAAGAGAAAAAGCTAGAACTATCTATTACTTCTCAAATAAAAACATCCGAAATAAGTTTTTCAAAGGAATGCGTAGATTAATCTTAATAGAATATTAAATATCAAGTATCCTTGTTCGAGACCTTAAGCTATATATTAAATGAATATTCAAGATAATATTATATGAGATTATTTTTAGAAATAATTTCAAATTATATTCTATTCAATTACTTTTTTTTTTTATCCCTTATTCAGATACGTGAAACATTAGTTGAAATTAATATTTATAATTTTATCTTGAAGATCAAAACTTAAGCTGAGCTTCTTTCTTGGTTTTTTTGCACTTAATTATATAACTAACAAAAAAATATTTTTCTAGAGTGTCTGAGTACTTGATTCTAACAAATATCTCATTTGACATCTTTTATATTTATATTTCAAATGAAATATTAAGATTAAATTGTAGATGATTACTTTTCTGTATAGACAAATGTAATTAGTGATGCGTGTAACACTTTTGTCAAGTGTATCTCATAGGTCTTAACAATCGTCATAGTTTACCAGCAAGTAGTCATGTAATATGACAGATGAAAATTAGACTTACAATCATCGTTCAATCTAACAAACTATGACAGATATAACAAAAAGACTATCGGAAAATATGAACTATTCTTTTTTTTTTTATGACAGTAATAACTGTAAACGATGTTTTCTTTTGTTGTATATGCGCAGTCTTTTCTTCTTCGTCTATATTCATTGCAACATCTTATATTTATTTGTTTTTCTCTCATTAGTCATATCATCCTTTTGATCCTATTTTTTAGATTTTCTAGATTTTTGTTTTTGTTTTTATTCCTATTATTGTTCATCATTCATCTGTTAGTAAGATGTTTAAAGATATTTGTTTTAATTCCAAGAGCTTTTTGTCTATTTTATCGTCATCATGTTCGTTTGTTATACTTAGGCTTAAGCAAAGAAGGCTTTCGTTTTTTTTTTTCACAAAAAAACAAGCTTTATGTTGAATTATATAATAAAATCAGATGAGTTTGTTTTTTTTTTATTAAAAGCTGCTTTTGAGAGGAGACAAAAGAAAAAGAAAAAGTAGTTTTTGTTTTTAATTTTTTTTTCTAAGATCTAAATTGATCACGAACAAGAAAATTTTTCCATGATGACCATCGATCAGAATTTTCATATAAATAAGTCATTGAACGTATTAATGATGGTTGTAATGTTTCTCGATGACATTCAAATAACCAAAGAACAACACCCCAAACAAATGCTGCAAACCATGGAAATACAGGTCGTTGAATATTTGGTAACCATGAACGTTTTTGTGCATAACGTGCAAAACCAACAGTTATACGTGCAAGTAAATAAAGTATAATTTGTTCATTAACACTATTTTGTTTATTAAAAACAAAATAAGCAACAATAAATGCACAAATAAATGCACGAAATGGTTTTGATATACTAAATATTGAAGCAACTATTGTTCGAAGTGTTTTATAAAAAAATACAAATAAACCTAAAGTTTTTGAATGTAAATATGTTAAACGAATAATAAAACGAATTCTTTTTGACCATGGATCATGACGAAATAAAAATGCTTGAACAATTGAATGAGCAAAACGTACTTTAGCTCCATAAACAATACCTTGTCGTAAACCTTTAATTGTTGCTAATGTTGAATGATATGATGGATCATTTAAAAAATTATTTATAAGACGTAATATAATAGACATTTGAAATTTTTAATAATCAAATGTTAACGATTTTCATAGAAAAAGGTACAGTCATTATTGAATATACATTTGTCATGGCATTGTTTTTTTGCTTAGAGTCTATGGAATTTAATTAATGAATGGAGAACAGAAAGAGCCAAGCGATGAAGTTGGATATATAAGTTATAGAGGACTCTAGCTGACGTAAGCGTCACCCCTTCCTCCCACCCCCGCAATAAAACTTGAACTATGGGTTATAAACTATTAGAAATTTTCTTAGGTTTTTATATCCTAGTTTTCCAGATTAGCTAAAATATGACATTTTCTGTTTTCTAAAAATAAGTTCTAGGTAAAATAGTATCATCTTGAAGAATTTTACAAAAAAGGGTAATCTCACTTCTGGTTCTTCGCTTGAATACAATCTACCTAGTTTAAATTTTATCATAGGTAGATTACCGAAATGACGAGATCTATGTTCAAGGAACAGAATTTTAAAAGTCGATTTTTGACGAGATCTTCAAAAACTATCCAGGCTGTTTATGATTCTCGTCTTATTTTGTTTGATCGGTTTGAACTATTTCACATCAGCATGGTTGATAATGTAAAATTTACTAGTGTTTGGTGGATAATCAATTAAAAACGTTCGTTTGTTAGTTTTTCTATTTGTTTGAAAGAGCCCTGTTTTTTTTTAATTCTTAATTTTTAAGCGGAGAAATGACGTGACAAGGGCAATGTCTTGAAAAAAAAAACTATCGAAGAAAATGGCACTCTAATTATAAAAGTATTCTGTTATATAATATTAACAGAACTTAATTCAGCAAAGAGTTTGTCATGATCTTTCAAGTAAGAAAAATAATTAAATTTAGAGATTGACGATCTATAGAGAATTCAAGACTTTACACAATTAACAAAAGTCTTTTTTTTTTCAAGAAGAAAATGACGAAATTTTTTGGAGAAAAAAAAACCGAGGTAGCAACTAAAATCATTTATTGAAAGATCAAACATCTTGGACTATCTGACTATATATAATATATTACTCTTTCACTTAATAATTACATTCATGTTAGATTCTCGATAGATATTAGCATGAAAAACGAAATAGACAGGCCTATAAGAAGTCGTTCTGTTTGGACCTTTGGCATATATTTTTCAGTTATCTGATGATCAAGAAGGACTTGCTAGTTATTTAGTATTTGTAACATGGTTTGCTGTCATTTACGATTGGAGTTTTTTTTTTGGATTAGACAGTCGAATTTTGCATTGTTTTCTTCCAATGTTATTGTTAGCTGTGTCAGTTTCAAAATATACGATTTTTGAAAAACTTGAAATATTTTGGATAATTTAATAATATATTAGGTTCTATCAACTGATGAGGAAACATTTCTAAGTGTCCAATCGCATCTGAGTTCGGACTATGTACATCATGTAGGTTCTAATGAGTAGTTATGAATATTCTGATAAAAGTTCGGATCAATAGCTTATGACTGTCGAGATACTGTATTTTTTTTTAGGGTGTAGGTGATTCTCGTCAGGAACACCATGGAAATTGAGTCTTGAATTTTTCCATAGAGACATGCCTTAATGAAAATAGTTTATTGTACAACGGTTGATTCCGATGTTCTTATTCCAGATAATCAAAATATTTGAAACTTTTGCAATAAGCTATTTTAGTTCAAGCATCTCCTCTCCTCGCTATATTTTTACTAAGTAGATCCACTTCCATTCATTTTAGTACATACGATGTTAAATAGAATTAAAACAAAATCTCACTTTTATCAATATAGAAATCAACTATAAAAGATCTGGTCAAAAAAAAAAGTATTTACTCTCATTTAGATCTTTAAAACAAATTGGCTATATCTTGGATCATGTGGGAGAAGTTTCAATTTTTCTGATTGAAAACTAGGTTCTGAGAAAAATGGTAAATAAATTTATACATGGCTTTAGCCAACTTAACATTCGACTACGAATTATATCCCTTCAATTGAATGTATACAAACCCAATTTCAACTATACATCATAGACGTTTAATCTAGGCTCTTGCAGCAGTATTTTTTAACTTGTATCATTCGTTGGATAATGATGTGCAGAAATTCGATTATCTTCCTATGATCAAAACTCAACTTCGAATGTTTTTTCGAAAAAATGGATTTTCTGAGGCGGCAGGAAGGCATAAGGTATGATAACCTCAAGCGCTGTATGTAAGTAGAGAACTCATTTGACTCTAGATAGCCTACCATCACAGAGTTGCTGAATTTAAGAAAGCTTTTTTATTTCATAGTAATTACATTAATATTGTTCGCTTAGGCTGAGATTTCTTGACTTTTCTATACGGATTTATAGAGTTCTGAAAGTTAACACTTCGGTTTTAGTTCCGACTCTATATGTATTTCTCTGATAAAAAGAAAAACAAATCAGATTTTCGAAAACGTTCGAAAATATCACTAACAAGGGAAGGTCCCCAAGTGATTCATTGCTTTCAAGTCGAGACTATCTGCATCATGCAGACTCTAATAAGCTATGAATACCCTGAAAAGAGTTCGGGCTGATAGATAATTACTACCCAGATACTTCATTTTCACAGTATTTTTTTAAGCATAATGACAAAGTTTCGAGTCGAAATTCCAAGCTTAGTTTTTCTGATGTTCGTGAGGAGGACCGCAGCCTTGTGCTTAAAAGAATACCATAAAAAGGAAGCATCTTGATAGTAATAAGCTATCAGGTCGAACTCTTTTCAGAGTAATCGTAGTTCATTAGAATCTACATGATGCATATAGCCCTGGCTCAGATTGGATTTGACATTTAGAAACGTGCGTTCATGTGTAGAGCCTGCCGGATCCAAAACTCTCGTACTCGATCAAGTTGAGGATCAACCCGACGGGCTCTACTTATGAGTATGACTTCAGTTGGGAAGGAATTTTAACCTTGAAAGAAATTCTCTTGTCCATAATCGAATTTCTTCATGAGGTAAAGAATCAATAATTTGATTATAAATATTTTCAATTTACGACAATTGAACATATTTCATTTGAATTATAAATAATGTTTTTTTTTTTATCTTTTTGATTTATAAAATCACTCTGAAAAGCATATCCAAAGAAAAAGCCAAATCAAGCAAAACAAGACAAAGTTCCCTTCAAGTCGTCACATATAAAAACATGGACAAAACAAAACAAAAAAAGAAGTTATCATCTGACTATACAAAATGAATATTTAATATTGTTAATTTATGTATATAAACTTGTTGATTTTCTATTAAACAATGCTTCAGACATTGGTACACGAGCTGGTCCAATAAGAATACTATCATCTTGTTGTTGTTGTTGTTGTTGTTGTTGTTGTCCTTTATTTGTTATTTCTTTTGTTGAATCTTGTTGTTGATTATAAAGTGAACGAAATGTAATAGCTTGTTTTAAATAAAGTCTTGCTTTAACAATTTCTTTTAATAAACGTTTTATATCATCACTATCAAGTTCAGGTAATAAACTATCATCAAGTTCTAAATCATATGTTTTATCTTGTTGTAAACGATGTATAAATAAATGTATATCACGTGAATTATTTGTTGAACGATGATAACGTCCATTATTATCATGTGATAAATTTTTTAAAAAATTATTTGCATCAATATCTTGACAACAAAATGATATTGTATTTATTGATATACGTTTTGTATCAGTTGTATTTGTATGTATTGTATTCATTAAACGTACTTGTTCTAATAAATAACTTGTACTATGATCTGGTTTACCATCACTTATATAATAAATACCATCAATTGGTTGTTTTGTATGATGAAAATCGAATGCAAATTTTAATACACGTTCACTACATGTATTACCATTAGCTTTTAATGTACTTATCCATGCAATAGCTTCATGACAATTATCTTCTGTTGGTAAAACAAGATTATCACGCCATATTTGATAATTATCATTAAATTGAATAAAATTAAATTGTATTTGATATGTAAATAATTGTTCCCATACAAGTGTAGCTAATTCTTTTTTTAAATAATCTATATTTGATTCCATTGAACCACTTGTATCAACAAGTATAAGTATATGTTTATGAACAATAGGTGAAAATATTAAACGACTACTATTTAATAACCATTGCATACGTTTAAAATAACGACGTAAAACGGATTCACATCGTTGACGATAATCATCTAATTCACGTGGACGTAATTGTAAATGACGAATACTACCTTTTATATTTATTGATGGAAATACAGAACAATAACGAGCTGATGATGTTAATTTTATATTAGGAACAGTGATTGTATCATGACGACCTAAAAGAAACAAAAAAGAAAACATCAATTGAATTGATTATTTATTAGTCTTTCATTAGATCACTCTCACGAAGGAAGGCTCCCAACTGTTTAATCGCTTTTGAGTCGAAACTATCTATATTATGCAGACCTGAAAAGAGTTCGAGCACTTAGCTTATCGTTGTGTCGATATCGGAAATTTACGATAGTATTTAAATGAATATCATAGTTTCTTCAGGAAAATTAATTTTC